ATGAGGTCTTGTTTTGGACATGAATGCATTCTTTACATTTGCATAACACAAATCCAATGTCTTGTTTTCTCTGGTGGAGCAGCTGACAAACTGTTGAAATGTTGGAAGTGTAGCAGAGAGCGAGACATGATTAAAATCAACAGATATAGCCACAAATGCATTGGGGTGCTGGGTTTGTAGCTTAGTGACAACGGAACTGATGGCATCACATGCACTTTCAGCAATGGCTGAAGGTGGGATATAAATGGTTGCCAAGAAAACACTGGTGAACTCTCTTGGCAAATAACTTAAGCTGTTTATCTTTCCTGTTGCACATTAAAAAATAGAGAAAGTTTGAAGCAGAAGTTTTTTTAAGTATTCTTTGTCAAAATAACAGACCGAAACCCAGAGAAATGTATTACCTTCACCAAAAAATGATCAAAAAGCTAACTTTGTTTGAAAGTTGTTTAAAACTTTTTTCATCACGTTGTCGGCCTTGTTGCCTAGCACATCCTCTTCTGTGGATTTTATTATTCATTATTTTTTAATAAGCTATTGAATGAGAAAATAAAAAACACCCCCAGGGGCCAATGTTACATTTCAACATCTCCTCCATCCCAGCTTCCTTTTGAGTTTTGCAGTAAAAAATTACTTTACAAAAAATCATTTATTTTTTAATTATATATATATATTTCTTTATTTTTTAAAGGTCTTATTCAACAATTCTTGATAATTCAAAGCTTCCGGCTTTGATGAGGACAGGGGTCTTTAGGATAGTAATTCCTGTCAAAGAAAAGAGAAGAGAAGGCATTTGGCCTTTGACACGGGTAATGTGAAATCTGATTGCACATGTAAAGTGGGAAATTAAAATAATGGTCAATGGCAAAGATTCACCCTGAAAAAGTTATTTCTAAGCTCCTGGATAAAAAAAATTACAGAATTTTTATATCAGACAAAGATAACCTTAACCTGAATAAGGCCGTTTTCACAAAATGATGAAATTCTTTTAAATGAAAAAAAAAAACCAACAACAACCGTGTTTGTTTGAAAAAGTAAATGCTTCCAAAATCTAAAAACAATACTGGCGCTGTGCTCTAGTTGTTTTGGGTTCTTTTTTTGAATATCAGGCCATGATATATTGCTTTTTGAGATCGTCTAGCCTACTTTTAAAGGATTTCTTAATTCTACAGGTCTGGTAGTAATCAGGTCTGACTGTGTTAGGGCTGCTCGATTATGGCAAAAACAATAATCACGATTATTGGGACTAAAATTGAGATCACGATTATTTAGGACGATTTTTCTATTTATGTTGATTTTATTTGTTTTTATTCAGTCATAAAATTGCTCAGGACACAATCAGGACAAAAGTAAATAAGAAACAAGATGATCACTAAAATAACTCCTGATTCCCAGTATAAAAAGACAAATATACTTATAGCTCATAGTCTATGACCCAAGGGCTATAGACCTTGGTTTAACTCATTTAAGTCTAACTAGTACAGACCCAAATACCAATATCTTTCAAATACTGACAGCAAGAATTACACAGTGGCATTTATAACAAATAAATGCAAATAAATTGATGTTCACAAAATGTTGCATAACATTTATTGAGTCGTGTCAAGGTGCTGTAGGAGACTGCACTAGCACCTTGTCCTCAGAGAGATTAGTTATTAGTTATCAGCGTGAGGAAGTTATTTCTACCTTATTTATAAACTATTTATTTACAGGTCCATCAGTTAATGTAATAATTGTCCCAACCACAGCTGTACCCCCCACCCCCCAACCTGGTCTCACAGCAATCGGGGCAAGCTGCACGCATGTTTAGCGCGCCGCACGCGCACATTTAGCCATTTTTATCGGCTCAGGAGTCCGCAGGTACGGTGTGTGTCACTCACCCTGGTTACTCCAACAGGGAGCCGGCTCCGAGAGCTGTTTCTTTAGTGACTGACACATCACTACATCATTCCCTTTCCTAATGTCCTGAAGAAAGGTCCGGAGTGCAGGCGGAGTGTTTAGCTAACCTGCAGGAAACGTCGACGACAGTTATCCAGAAAGTAGCTAAGGGTTACCAGAGATGGTTCTGAGATGTTCACTTGGTACTTTTAAGATTTAAAAAGTCAAGAAGGGGGTCTGAGAAGCTGCTAGAAATAGCGTCAAAGTCGCCAAGTTGGCAACACTGTGGAGGAGCGCTTCATTTGTAACTCAGGGCAGTGCAAGTGGGAGGAGCAAATAATCGGCTTGTTTTGTTTTTTATAATCGTTCAAAACTCAGATCGTAATCGTGATTAAAATTCGATTAATTGAGCAGCCCTAGACTGTGTTCAGTAAAACTGAACATCTGCTCTGTCTTCTCGATCCCCAGTGAGTCGTGGTGGGTGGCTGCTTATACCGAGCCAGGATCCTCTGAGTCTGGAGGTTTCTTCCTGTTAAAAAGGAGTTTTCCTCTCCACTGTCGCTAAATTATTGCTTAGTATGAGGATTGCTGTAAAGTCACTGACTAGCGACTTGATGCAATTTGCTGGGTTCCTTATATAGGAAACTTTTCTGACTGGCTTAATGAACTGACATGTATTGGAATGTTTACTATGTGAAGTGCCTTGAGACGACTCTTGTCGTGATTTGGCGTTATATCAATAAACTTGAATTGAATTGAACTGAACCAATGAGGTGGTTTACCTTGGTAATTCATGGTTCGTAAAGAGTAAATTTTTTTTCACACATCCACATTGGTTTTTGAAAGCTTGATTTGGAAAGAAAAAGGTGGAAGAAGTAGTTTTTTTATACTGCAGCACATCTCAAATTATAAATCACAAGGCACTTCAGAATTGCAATAAACATCTTAAAAATAATTTTAAAAGGATAAAAAAACATGAAGATAAAAGAAAAAACCTGGGGCCCAAAAAATTACAGAAAGAACCAACACCGGCATGAAAAGATGCCAGTGAGGAAAAAGAGGAAAGATAAGGGTGGGCAATGAAAGGGGATGTATCATTTGTGTTGTGGAGCTATGTGTTTATGTATTTAGCACATGCTTCTGTCCAAAGCAACTTACAGGTGATAATGAAGCCAGCAGGTTGCCCTTGAGTCCAACAACAAACACTATTCAGTCAATCCTAGGTGGCAGCGAAGCAGCATAATTAATCATAGAGGGAAACAAACATGGAGTGTGCAGTAGAGTGGGGGACGGGTGCAGGGAGCTGGGTCTTTAGGAGTCAGAGGTGTACCCAGGGAGTGGCCAAGGGTAGCACATGCCACCCTTGGAATCTGATTGGCCACCATAGATACCAACACACCAATTTACCTTTAAATAGGCTTTTCATTGTCCACAAAAGGCTTGGGGGTAAAACAAAAGAAGCATAACCATTGGTGCCACCCATGCACAAAGTTGTGCCTCACCTGAGCCACCCCATTTTAAAAGATCTGGGCACGCCACTGCCAGGAGTTTCTTGAAAATCGACAAGGAAGCTGCTGTTCTGGTAGTGTTTGGTAGGTCATTCCACATCTGTGGAACGAAGAGTCTGGATTGTCCTGAGTATGGTGTAGGCACTGCTAGCCAAGGATCCTTCGATGACCGGAGCGGCCGGATGTAAGCCTTTGCAAGAGGATTGATTCGAGTATCATTCAACCTTGCGCTACAATGGACTATTGATGTAGCCTGTTGTAGCATTAGCAAGGGTGTGCTAGCATTTCGAGTGTTGGACTCCTGCCGATTGTTGGGGTTTCCCTCCTTGAAGACTGTAGATTTGATTAATATGAGTGATCAGCAGCTTCTGGTGAGGACATAAGCCCAGAAACTAAACATGAACTTGAAATGACCAGAACCCAGCTCTCCAGACATCACATACAAAACTCGCTTTCTGTTTCTTGTTAGTGTGTCGATCAGGCGCGACCTTTGGGCCAGCCACACACAGGTCCATCTTTCTCTCGTCTGAGCCCGATTCAATCTGCCCACTTAATTTAATTATTGTAAAATTATCAGGAGAAACCTAGAAGGTTTGCTCATTTATTTTGTGCATTTTCTCAGGAAAATAAACGCGTATCTCGCTCATTGCCTGAGGCTTGACAGCTCTACATCCGGGTGGGATTCTGGGCTCAAGTCTGTCAGGTCAGTTTGGGTTAGAGTTGAATTTTTGAACCTGTTGAGAACCCTCATCCACGTAGACATATCTGCACGTGTGCAGAGCAAAGCAGGGTATTTTCGGAGGTTCTGAGTTTTGGATCTGTTGCTCAGATTTTGTCCCCGTTATTGGTGATGCTGCAGCTGGGTTAAACATAAACAAATGCCTCATTTTCCACCATAAAACTCCACAATATTGAAGAGAATAAATGCGGTCGGGCTGGCATGTTGATACTGACATGAATTCACCTGCAACCAAATCTTTTATAGCTACTGCACCCAGTACTGGTCACATTCTAATGTCAGCAAAGTTTACTGAACACGCTTAATTTTACTTACTGGGATATTTATTATTCTTTTTTTGCACAAAACTGAGTTCTGCCCCCATCTGACTCTCCTTCCTAGGCCAATGTGGATTGAGTGAATGACCTGATGTGTTGTTGTGAAGCACCTTGGGAGGCTGCAGAACCCAGAGGGTGCTGTATCAACAAGCTCCCTAAACTTACCACCTTAACTTGGTGGAGAACTAGGAGTCACCTTATTCGGGGGCATTTTGCCAGATCTGCAATTGCAAATTGGTCCTAGGTGAAGAGTGAGAGAAAGGAAAATTCAAAATACCTTTTTATGAGTACCAGAGCATCTGGCATGGGGGAAGCTACCTACCAGGGTCCTACCCTGGACACAGACCTGGGGTGGGGACCTGTGTGCGAGCGCCTGGTGGCCAGGCTTTTGTCTACAAGGCCTGCCTGGTTCCAGCCTGAACCGGTAACATGGCTTTGTCCACCTTAGGACCCACCACCTGCAGGAGGAACATCAAAGGTTGCAGACCAAGGCACAGGCCCACTGTCAACTTCACAGAATCTACATATGAAGCATGCTTGTTAAATAATTTCATAGAAATATTCTGAATTTTATAAAATCTTCATTTATTCTTCTACAGTGACTCAGTCACTCAGCACACCGAACAATCAATGTTAAGACGAGGATAGCATTTCTGAATGAACGAGTTTTGCAGTCACACCACACCGAACACATCGGCTCACTTTGGGTTTGACAAACAGCTCATGACTCAACAAGTTCCATCATTTCCATGGTTACTGTTTCAACAATAAAAACATAATATAGGAGCAGAGGGTTTCCTACAGACACACCGAAATAACTTAAGCCATCTTTGTTGGATGGCTCTCATCATCCAAGGACATGGCTCCAAGGTTGTATAGATACCATAAATATCAGTGTGATGGCTTATTTTTATTATAGTAATAAAAATAAACTATCACATGTATGACAAAAGGGATAATCCTTTCACTTGGTTGATCATTTATTCCACAGAAAAGAGCTGAAGAGCTGCTCTTTTTACACATTTCAGTCTGTTAAAAAAATCCCTCTCCTGCAGGAATCCTCAAAGCAATGCTTCCCTTTTTCCTGCAGAGTCCAACTCTTCAGGCTTAGACGAAGTTTTGTTATCTGTTCTTCTTCTTCTCTTTTTTGTTTTTGCTCGTGGAGCTGTGAGAAGCGCTTGAATAGAGCGCTGTGGCGTGACCGCTGGTCTTCAGGTGGTCAAACAGCTTGTTTCGGGTGGGAAACTCAAAGTCACAGGTAACGCAGCGAAGGTTTGCCTCCTTCTAGAAGTGGAAATGGGAAGGTGTCATTCAACAGGAGGAGAGATGCAGAAAAGGGCAAATTATTAGAAGTAATTGTACGGTATGGGCTCTTTTTGTTGTACAGACCTCTGGAATCTGTTCAGTGTGTGGCTTGGCGCTCTTCGGTTTATCTTTTCCTCCTCCTTTCTTTCCTGTCGTCTTTCCGGAGCTGCTGAGAGGATCCAAAAGTTAAACCGCTAATCGCACCGAATACACCAAACATCAGGAATGAACCAAGCAAGCCTCTCGAGTCCTTCTACTCTCCATCATTATTCAGAATAATGAGCAGACTTTAGTAACCGTCTGCTTCCGGTTTGTTTTTTACTTGCTGCTTTGCTCTAATTCACATTTTTCTTTTTAATATCAAGAATCAAACATCAGCATTTGGCGTTTTTAAAAATAAAGGTTGCACAGCCCAATTTTTTATCTTCCTCTTTGTTGGGAAACAGGATCTTATCTTGGAATGGCATTTGATTTTTACTTCTCAGGATCATTTCACTCAAATAAAAAAAGCCAAAGCCCTAAAAGCATGTATGGACAGGAGCATGCAACCACAGGTGATTTCACTCAGAGCACACGCTCTCCATCAGAGATAACCATCACTGGTATGTCAACAAGACAGAGCAACAGCTCTGCAGGTGTTCAAACTGCCAGACGAAGAGCCTCGAGAGCCCCGTGCTAAAAGTTACACAACATGGAAGCTTAGAATCAAAAATGTGCAAAGAAGAAACGCCTGATTCAAAAGGAAACGGAGTTTCAGTCGTATTCTGTGTTGCAACACAACCTTCAGCTGTGTGCACTGGTGGTCTGTGTTCATGACCCATGTCAAAGTTTCTGTGCTGGCAAGAGTGACACCAAGTGTGCCGGGGCTGTTACAGAAAACAATGGATATGAACTAGATTTTGGCGACTAGCGCTCCATATGGCCTCAGGTCCTGTAGGACGCACGACATCACAACTGATAAACGATCACAGTCATGCAAATTTCTTTGACAGATAACAGCTACACAGGAGCACAATGATCCTCAACCAAGGGGCCATTTTGGTCTGCATTTTTTGAAGGAGTGGCTAAATTGCAGTTCCACCCTCATCCGCTAGGGGCTGGCACCAGAAGTGAGCAAATCTTCAATAACTCCCATGTTAACTCATTAACTGCCAATGACAACTAAAGTCATCATTTGCGATGGAACATTGCTGTTCCACCGAGGTGAAAGATCTACGAGTCCGCCGTTGTCGATGCTCGCAGCTCTGTGTCGACACAGCGCTGGCAGCTGAATTCACACTCACGTCTACAGTCGAGTGCAACGACAATGGCGGACTTGCAGATCTTTGGCCGTGGTGGACCAGCAAAGCCCAATATCCTCGGACAGCTTACCTAGTTATGATTTCATCACTAAGCAGGCCAGAGGTGCCTTTACTTCGGAGTCACTCTACAGCGTTTTTCTTGCTAAAAATGCCCGTAAAAACTCTTAGCTTTGGGTTAGAATGCAGCTAATGTCCCATTGATCTCAGCTCGTGGAGCATCAGCTAATGTAAAAGGCCAGGGCGCCCAGCTACGATCGCAGCGGTCTGAGGCTCTGCTTGTAATTGAACAGTTCCAGTCCATATTACATCTCCACAGGCGACCAGCATGACTACAGCCTCACAAGGAAGCCAGTCGGCCATGCGGGTGGGATACCCCGGTCCCCTCCTTAGCTTCTTGGGTTAGCTAAGTTAGCTAGTAGCTACATTGGTTCATTTGTTCCAAATGTAAGAGCCCCACCCTCAGCTCTGTTTCTTTTCCCGATTTTCTGGGCGTGACGAGTCATGTGAGACGGTCAAGAAAAATCGAAGGTGGGAACCTCCCATTTTTGGCTTCAACCTGCCCCCCGCAGAGCAATGAGATGTTATGTCCATCCTATGTCAATGTTCTCAACTAGAAAACTGAGGAAAACTCCCTTCAGCCTGGGAGTGATGGCTTAAGTGGTCGACTTTAATATCTTGCTCATGAGCATTGGAAGCATGGAGGGAGAGACGGACAGACTGATTATGGTTTTCCTCTGCAGTAATGAGGATGGCACTTAAGTCCATCATGGAAGAGAAGAACCTGAGCCCCCCAAAAAATCTTCCATTAACTGGCTCATCTTTGTTCTTACCCTAAGATGAGATTTTGAGTTTGACTGAAAAAACGAGACCCTGGTTTCAAGTGGTTGACTTGAGCTTCCTCTACACGGTTCAGCCATGGAGATAAGGTGAGGAAGATCAGAGAAGGGCTGCTCTGGTTTCAAACACAGGGAAACCCGTGAACTGGATATTTTGGCATCACTTCTGAACAGAGCAGCTATCTGGCAACTCCATGTCTCCGCAATATTTATCATTTTTAAGCCGGAATTTAACTTGAAAACTCAGGTCAGAAACTTCCAAGTCACATCCAGTTATCATGAGATCTTGTGATGATAAAAGTGATAAAAACTGCTGACACCTAGCAGTCGGAGTTTGAATTGCACCAAGCAAAAGACATTCGTTAAATGCTTGCATGTAAATTAGGGCTGCAACAAACGATTATTTCGATAATCGATTAACCGGATGGGGTCTCGACACGATTAATCGATTAATCGGATTACATGGGGAAATTTTTAAAAACTGCTAGGGAAACGTTATTTCTCTCCTTCCTTCACTTTATTTAACACAACATTATTAGAAAACACTTCAATAGCAGAAAAACAACATGCCATCACCTAAATTGTCTTATAAGGTGTATAGACAGAGACCCTAAGCTACATCTATCTGTGACCTAAAATGCTTGGTCCAAGTTAAACAGCTTAAGGGCAATTCTCATCTGTTTTGTTTGATCTCATCTGTTAACATTTATTTTAAATGTAATTAAACATAGGCTGTGAATTAATCAAAATTGATCACTATTTCCAAAACTGACTGAAAAAATACCAAATAAAACAAAAGTAAATGAATGCCATCCTCCTTGCGATGATGCCCTGGGCAACTGCCATAAAGTCACATCAAGAAATGCTGCTGATCATTCCAATGATCCCAAATAGACTCACATTAGGCCACATGAAAGCAACTGAACCCAAAAATATATTAACCAGTATATAACTGCACTCTCACACAACACGCCTGCAGCAACAGTTAGGACTCCTCCCTCCCTTTTAAAAGCGTTTTTGCTTCTGAGGACATTGTGGTTGTAAAACCACATGCTAGTAGTCTGGCCCCGGTGTGATCAACCAGTTTCTGCGGGAATGTGACGGCGGAACCAGGGCCAGATTAACACTTTGTTGTACCCTGGGCAACAATATTCAAGGGCTCCATCATCACGACCCGAGGATCACCATAATGTGGTCACATACAGAATATTTTACTGTGATATGCAGTAAATATACTCAATACTTGAATGCCTGACAACACGTAACCCGCCCAGAGTAACCTTTGACCCACCTCGTGTGGACTGACCAATGAGGAGAGGGTCTTAACTTGAGGCCCTCTCTTCATTGGTCAGTCTGCATGAGACTGACTCTCAACTGACATTCAGTCGTAGGCAGCGAAGCGTCTCTGTGCAGCGCAAAAGCCCGGGTGGACAGTTTGTTTAATGTAGGGTGACCATATTTCCATTTCCAAACAAGAGGACAGGGGATCTGTGCCTATGACGTCACACTATGGCAACGCCACACAAACCATGTTGGGACCCATTTTTTGTAAGAACTAAATTAATATCAGATTCTGCCAATTAAAGGGCTCTAAAACAATTCATATGTAAATATTTTGCATATTTAATGCAAAATCTAATTTTTCTGCTTTAGTGCTGCAACAAGGTTTTATTAATAATAAATTATTATACCTTTTGTTTTACTACAGCATTGGTAAGCTTCCTGTGCACAGATGATTAAGGATGCTTGTTTCAGCTGTGAGATTAGACGATAGGATCAATGAAAAAATAAGTTGTCACACACTCCATGGAAACTTTCAGAGAATCCACAAATAGTGGCTTTCAAATGGTTTTGTTACTTTTAGCAGGTTTAGAAAAGCAGCAGATGAGACAGCATGTCTGATAATTTAGTTTTTCATCTGATAATATTAGAACATGTCAGTAATGTCTGAGGGGCTTTTATAAACACCATATAACTAACACTACTGGAGAGGGCATGAATTACACAGATTCTTCTGGGGAGCCCAGTTATGGGGGGGGGGGGGGGGGGGCATTTTGCCTTGGCCCCCAAAATGTCTTGAAACGGCCCTGGGTGTGTGACTGAGTTTTGAAGGTATCTGAATTGTATCAGATGTATAAATATGACATGTGTATAACTTATTGTTTTTTACTGGTAAAAACGTGTCGTGGAGATAAATCTACCTACATTTGACTTTTCAACACTTTGTTTTGTTTTCTTGTTTTTATTTAACTATTTTCCTGTCCTGTCTGTCTCTCATCTTCCTGCATCTCCTCATAATTCTCCAGAAAATCTGTTGCCTGGATTCTTACCTTTTCACCTCATCAGTTACTTTTGAGCAGATCAAAGGGATCTCCTGACCGAAAAGCGCAGAGCGCGTTTTCGATGCTGCGTGAGGTGACATCACCACAGCAGAGGTGATGAGCTCCACAGTAGCGAGCTTCAGGCACAAATAAGACAGAAAATAGAGAATATGTGCGGACATGAACGATCGTGTGCTAATTATAGTTTTTTGGTTGCGCCACTTTGAGAATGGACCGTGCGCTGGAAGCAGCTGCCTGGATCGCTGCGCGACAATGCGGAACCGGTTCGCAGCAGCGCAAGTCTGCCGGCTCTCCATCGCGCTGATCTGCCGGTACCGGCTCTCCCTCACGCTGATCTGCGGCTCTCCCTCGCGCTGATCTGCCGGCTCTCCCTCGCGCTGATCTGACTTGCTCTGGTCTGCGTGCAACGGCGGGCAGGAAGGGGGGGGGGGGGGGGGGCGCTTTTGGAAGAGTTGTGCGACACAACGAATCGATGACGCAATTCGTTGCCAACGCTTTTAGTAATCGATTTTCATCGAATTTATCGATTCGTTGTTGCAGCCCTAATGTAAATTAAACATAAAAAAATAAAAAATAAATCAATGCACTGCTTTTAAATATTGATTCTGTATCACGACACAAAATATTGCAACATTTCATGGTACCAACATTTTCTTACCCACCCAATTAGGACTCAATTTATCCAGACCCCTGGGAGGACTCGGGCTAGTTTCTCTTTCTTGCTTTCAGCACCCCCGTTAAAAATTCTCTGTGGTTAAACTGAAAATGAAACTTATCTCCTCGCTGTGCTTTTGTCTTTTTAACACCTTAATCTACCAGCTGAAACGTCTCCCCAGCCTTCCTTAGTGCCTACAGGAGTGATTCATCACTAAATTAAACAAATAATCTATACTCAACAAAAATATAAACGCAACACTTTTATTTTTGCTCCGATTTTTCATGGGATGGACTTAAAGATCTAAAATTCATTCCAGATACACAATATTACCATTTCTCTCAAACATTGTTCACAAATCAGTCTAAATGTGTGATACTTGTGGCATATGTGGCATTTTGCTGTGAGACAAAACTGCACATTCCAGGGTGGCCTTTTATTGTGGGCAGTATATGGTACACCTGTGAACTACTCATGATGTCGGATCAGCATCTTGATGTGGCACACCTGTGAGGTGGGATGGATTATCTCAGCAAAGCAGAAGTGCTCACTATCACACATTTAGACTGATTTGTGAACAATGTTTGAGAGAAATGGTAATATTGTGTATCTGGAATGAATTTTAGATCTTTAAGTCCATCTCATGAAAAATCGGAGCAGAAACAATGGTGTTGCGTTTATATTATTGTTGAGTATATGTTCATGATCTCAAACATGCAGGAAACGCGCTGGAACCAGACTGCAGTGCTAGGTATGTCAGCTCAATTTTTTTCTAAGTCCACAAGTGGCCAGTCTGAAGTTGCGATATTCTGGCCACGGAGAGCGGTGGGGGTCTGAGTGACTGTTCATTAAACTTGTTAAGAGTATTTTAAGCACATACTGGCTCAAGAAAATGATTTAAAAATATGAAAAATTAGCAAAGACTGCCTTTAATTACTCTAAGAAGAAATTTGCACCCACACAATGATTTTGTCCTTTTGGAAACTCCCTTATTAATGCTGTGTGTAATTTACAGCAGGCAGCTCAGTGAGATGGCAGCTTAAGACAGACACTTCCAGTCTCTCTGATTTGTTTCCAAGTTTAAAATTTGGAGTTCAAAGTTTAAAGGTGACGATAAAATTATTCAAAAATTAAACTATTACCCACAGGAAAAATTTTAAGACTTAGAAGCAACAAAAAACCAAAATGTTTTTTTTTTTTGTGGTCTGGCTAGTTTTGATCAACTCAGATGATTTTCATTTCCTGATTAGTTTCATAACACCACCATACCTGCTGAGCAGCACAAGACACGAGTGACAAAAGCATCCTCGTGGCGACTAAATGATCACTGCTGCAAAAGAAACCTAAAACTAACGTGTTCAGAAGCTCAGTCTAAAAATCCATAGCTAAAGAATCTGAGGAGGTTTTCTTGCTCTCCACTTGGTCAGAGGACACCGCTGAACTGACCTTTTGACCTCCACAGAAGGGAAATCCTCGTTTTTCTCAGGCTCTGCCGGTTTTTCTGATTTTTCAGGAAGATCTTCCTCACAGGAGGCCTGTGCAGGTTTCTCCTCATCCTTCTCCTCTGCAGCACTTTGCTTTAGAAGAAGAGAGAGCAGAGAAGTTCATGAAGCTTTCGCCTCAGCAGACTGATGCTAGACTAAGGCCAGAACCGCTGAAACAGAGAGGAGAGGAAAAGGATGCTTACTTGTGCTACTTTTTGTTGTTTCTTTTTCCGCTTTTGTTTTTTCGAGAGCCTGAGGAAGTCGAGTGAAAAACTAAATTACATCAAATAACAGGTTGAGTCACCAAACTTAAACTACCTTAACAACTAGGTGTGTTTTAGTTTTATTTTACTTTTGCCTTGGCCTTTCTTCCTCCTCCTCTTCATCATCTTCCTCCTCCAGCTCATTTTCATTCTCGCCGTCCTCCTTTCCATCCACATTCAAGCCGAGCGAGTTCTCTTCTTCCTCCAGTTGTTGCCGTAGCAAGACCACCATCTCTCGGTGCCTTTTGGACTTCTCGTGGTTTTTCATACTGTGGCGAGGAAACAAAAGGAGCTTTATAATGTGGGTCAGGAGTGACGTTCAAATGAGTCACAGGCTACTAAATTGGGAAAAATGTTAATATATTTACATTGACACATTAGAAAATTAAAAATTATGTTTTGTACACAGATTTGGTTTTACAACCTATAAAAAGCTGGATTTAATCCTCTGAAACAGTTAGTTTAGTAACCTTAGTTACTTAATCTCACTGAAATGATTCATTTATTCATCGGCTGAATTAGCGTGCAGGTCCACAGAACAACAACAATCGAAGGGCCAGAGTGTGTGTACTCACGCCTTTTCTGATTTAAAGGATTTGTCACAAGCTGGGCAGTAGAGATCATCATAACACTCAGTTGTCAGGTCGCCTCCGTTGAGCTGCTCCGCGTCTGAGGATGAATATTCATGACCGAGAGAAAAGTACAAGAACTCAGTTAAGTATTCATTTGATTTCAAGCTTGAGGTTACAGTGATTGGTGAATGAAAAAAAAAGAAAAGGAAGCAGGCAAATGATCCATTTCAATGATGTTTTATGAGCGGTGGTGTGTTTCCCCTACAGAGACGCTCCATTATGCTCAGACTTCCCTTATTTGTTTGTTGTGTTTGTTTCTAGTGCCACAGCGTTTGGACAAAGGGTGTGTGGACACACTGGTCTAAGGCAGTAATCAGGTCCAGTCATCGTCTCTTCCCTGTCTGAATGGCACAAACGCATTCAGCTCAATAACCAGAAGAGGAACCGTCACATAAACTCATCTCATCCCTCATGTGGACGTTAGAGTAGAACTGCACCCTCATTTCTCTGATTTACCTTTTTTCCCACAGCTCATAAAAAGCCTCAGCAACTCAAAATGACGCCACTTGCAATGAGGAGCAGAGCAACCTGGGATGGATTTATACTCAATCCAGCAGGTTAGAGGGAGACTGACGCAGTCCGCGTGCTCAGAAAATCCCTGCTAGGAATGTAAAGAAGTTAAAAATCTGAGCGTCTTCCACATTCTTTTGTTTGTTTATTTACTCTGCAGTAAATGCAGCCTTGGGAAAGGTCAAAAGTCCACCTATTTGTTTTATATAGAAAATGTGCCTTTTGTCCTGAAACACCATCAGGGAACCCTTGAATAAAGTAATCAACGTGTGAAAGCAGGAAAACTGTCTATAAAGCAGTCGGCGGCGGCGGCCCATTAACCTCCACCTACACCTTTTGGAAAAGTCCAGAAAATCAAAGCATGTGATTTTGAGGAAACATACAAAAAATAAACATTCTGCATTAATTTCCACATAGATGATAATGGAAGAATGAGAAAGTGGAGGAGTTTAAGTATCTTGGGGTTTTGTTCACGAGTGAGGGGAAAACGTAGCGTGAGATCGACAGGCGGATTGGTGCTGCGTCTGCAGCGATGCAGGCGTAGTACCGATCTGTCGTGGTGAAGAGAGAGCTGAGCCGAAGGGCAAAGCTCTCATTTTACTGGTTGATCTATGTTCCTACCCTCACCTATGGTCATGAGCTTTGGGTAGTGACCGAAAGAACGAGATCGCGGATACAAGCAGCCGAAATGCGTTTTCTCTGCAGGGTGACTGGGCTCTCCCTTAGAGGTAGGGTGAGAAGCTTGGTCATCCCGGAGGGGCTCGGAGTAGACCCGCAGCTCCTCCACGTCGAGAAGAGCCAGTTGAGGTGGCTCGGGCATCTAGTTAGGATGCCTCCGTCGTGAGGTTTTCTGGGCACGTCCAACCGGGAGAAGACCTAAAGGTAGACCCAGGACACGCTGGAGGGTCTATGTCTCTCGGCTGGCCAGGGAACACCATGGTATTCTACCGGAGGAGCTGGCCCAAGTGGCTGGGAAGAGGGAAGTCTGGGCCTGTCTGCTCAGACCGCTGCGCCCACGAAACGACTCCGAATAAACAGCTGAAAATGGATGGAAGGATGATGGAGGAATGAGAAAGCCCAGCCATGTTTGTAGCTCTCCAGCTCAGACAGGCCTCTCTAGAACCAGTTTAAACAGCTGGACGTTACATGACTGAACTCACGCTTCGATCTGTTCTGGAGTTTTACACGAGTGCAGTCCGAGTATTATGGGTTTTTACAGCAAAATGTTCAGCTGGGTGTGATGACTAAATGAAGCCTTTAACTGTGTTACCCGTCACCTCGCTAACTCAGAAGACCTGAAACACACCAACACTGACACTTTTCCTCGTCATCACTTTGAAGAAAGTTCCATCGTTTAAAACGACAATAAAGCCGATCAGGGTGTTAGAAAGTTTCCAGCTGCTCTACTTGTGAACACGGAAGCGCCTTCTTTTTTATTCCTTTTAATTAGGGATAGACGATATATCAGCATCAACGTCAGTATCCACTGATGTTGGTTCTTTTTTAAAACATCAGTCTGATATGTAAAATTGGGCAAGTAACAACGGAAATTTATTTGAGTTTTGTTTTCATTTGCATGTGTTTGAGGGACGTTTGTGGGGGTGGAGGGGTAGGTGTAGGTGGTGTGGTTGCTTTTACACAGAGGTGATGTACGAACATACATAATATTGGTTAATATCAGTTATCACCATAACAACATTAGTGTCCACATCGGTGCATCCCTAGTTTTAGTCTCCTTTAAAGCATCAGGAGCTTTTAAATGTGCTATAGACATCAAACTGGATTGGAAACAAATAAAGAGACGTTTGAAACGTCGTGTTAAATTAGTTTTTTAAAGACTGTATAAAAGATGGTGGTTAAAGAGCAAGTCACCCCCTACCAGAGTATTACTCCACTCCCACTTCCAGTTTGAAAAATGCAACAAATGCTGTTGCCTAGCAGACCAAGACGGCGGAGCCACTAACAAATACACACACACACAGGCTCACAACAACATTGTGACATCATACGGTACCAGCTAACGATCTAGGGTACCTTTTAGCCAATAGCGATGGCAGATTTAAATTCAAATGCAGTGCAGAGTTTTTACCTGACAACGGCACAACACTGCCAGTTTTTGGCAGAAATTTTAAATTTTAACTAAAATGCAGTAAAGTGTACTCAACTATTGAGTACACGTGTCTGCAACACAATTAGACACGCATTTATATAGTTTATCAGTAAAAAAAAAAGTTGATTTGGGGGTGACTTGCTCTTTAACGTTTGGTCCGTTGAATGCAAATACAGATGAAGCTTTGTTTTGTCTTTTACCTCCTCCCCCTTCGCTGTTTTTCTCCTGCGAGTCGACTTCCACCTCTTCCTCGTCTTCGCTCTCAGACGCATCTCCAAACTCCTCTCCATACTGAGCTTCGATCTGCTGCAGCTCCTTCTCCAGTTCAGACATGGCAGCCCAGCTCTGCTCCTTGTAGTCCTCTGCCAGTCTGGGATAGAAAATATTCCTTGACAGAGTCCGCACCACCCGCTGGCTTTCACCCTACACCTTTAAACTAATCATCTTAAGCTGAGAAACAATGGTAAAAATAAAAACCTAGCCTCTACCCCAACACTTAGCTCCAAACTCACTTTGCGTTTTTGAGCTTCTGCTGCCGCCTCATTTCCTCCATCTTCTTGATCTTCTCTGCATTCTGCTCCTCCACGAGCTTCCTGTGGGCCTGCACGCGGCGGTCGCGCTTACGGACAAAAGCCACCAGTTGTCGCACGAGGTCGTTGCGCTCTCTGCGACCCTTTTCTCTGGTCTTCTTGTTCTCCTTCTCCATGGCCCTTTTCTCCCAGCGGTTGGAGGCTTGTCTCGTGTCATATTCCTCCTTCCATGCAAAGTTTTTGCGTGTGCAGAAGCTCTGCCAGTGGGCGTAAAACTCATGCACGACCTGCAAAACAGACACAGGTATTAGTGAAAAAAATACAATATGTTGGCCTGATGGCAGTTTTTAAATGTCACTAAGTTACAGACTTCTATCAAGAGTTCATGAATCATCAGTGCAACGTGGAGACAGACGTTTTAAGTGTGGCCGTAGCTTACTGTATCGTAATCACTCCGAGAGTCTCCAAAGGGAGGAAACTCCTCTTCCTCTTCCTCGTTGTCCATCCTGCTGTGCTCCATCTCCTCCTTAACAATGGACTCGAAAAGATTCCTGTACACTGTGTAAAAGCCCTGGGGAGAGAAAATGAAAGGAACAGTAAATTAGAAAATCAGTGTTCTGAGAGGCACCAAGTATTTCCTTTCCCACAGTTTAATGGCGCTGCCAGCCTAAACAGCGGCTGATGCCGATGGAGCTGAGCGAACAGACCAGGGCCACCGCTTCGGTCAGACAGCATCAAATCAAAAACACAGATAAGCATCGTTTACATCTGAGAGAGAATTTAAAAAATTGTTTCAATTTGCTACATTTTCATCTTTGTTTTCTAACTCCTGAGGCTATGACTGAATGACCTAGTAAAGAAGGGGAGACGTGGGTGATTGCTGTTCTTAGTGTGTTCTTCCCGTGCCTCTGTGGATTTTCTCTAAACGTTCCTGCTTCCTCTCATGACAACAACAAAAGCAGGTGTGAGTGTGTTGTTGGTATTTGTCTCCGTGTTCAGACTAGCACCTTCTGTCCAAGAGGGGACTGAACAAGAAGGATGAACCATTTTACAACCCGACATAAGACTTGCCTCCCCCTGCTGACCATTGTGCAGAATGCAGGTTGATTGCACTCCCATGTGCTAAATCAGGGGGTCACAACCTGGTGCCCCCTGGAGCCTTCTGAGGTGCCCACAGGCTTTTTCTCCAAATAGAACAAGTCTAAGATGAAATAAAAATGTTCTGCTGCCAACTTTTAATCACAAATGCATTCATTTAAATGTAAAAGCTGAAATATGTTTAGTTTAACTCTATCTTAGGTCAAAGGTCACTACTGTATCAACCTGGTTGCGTGGCTCAGTACCCATGAAGTAGCTCTCAGCTTCACAGACGTTGGTGACCCCTGAGCTAAACCCGACCAGACCTGGAAGCACATGAAAGGCTCGTGGCCTTCCTGTTGTATCTGCATCCCTTCCACATCCTCAGCATGGAGTTATATTTAGGTTTAGCTCTTCTGTAGCTGGATTTCATCCAGTTCAACACGAGCAGCTAAAAACAGCTTTCTAACTCATCAGCTGATGCTTTAACTGACTTTTAGCGCTCTGTTGATACGATTTTTATTCTCTTCCTTGTGCGGTGTTCTGACCAGGACAGATTTGTTCATACAGACGCGTGTCACAGCTCTGGCTACTGACACTCAGTAACTCTGTAACACCGACCAAAAACATTCAGCAGGTAACGGTTCATTTTTGGTGCTTTCCCAATAAAACATCGCTGCTGATGGGCCACACAGCTCCGTTCCTTCCACTGCTGTGTGTCCCGTGACTGGGGTCAGGCACGCTTGCGCACGCACACACACACACACACACACACACACACACACAGGCCGCCTCTCATTCACAACTCCTCTACGTTTTGGCTTCATCTGGTGAATGTAAACAACAACACAGCTAATGGAAACACCTGTGATGGGATTTGTGTTTCTAAATATAGAAAGACCAGAAATGTAATAAAGCACCTCGTCGTTCACAGCATCGACTTGGGAGATGAAGCTGAAGCATTCATCCTCTTCAATAGGGCTGGTCAATAAATCGAAAATAATAATAATAATAATAATAATAATACATTTTATTTGTAATCGCCTTTCAAGACTCTCAAGGTCACTGAACATAAAACATGAACACAAGTACCAGTTTAAAAACAATGCAAACAAATCAATTAAGAGATACAAGCAATACACATAAACAACTGAGCAAAACCTAAAATAAATAAGAGCAGGTTAAAAGTAAGGACAGATATAACAAAAAATAAATTATTTTTCGAATATTTATCGTTACCGATTGTTAATAAAAAAAAATTAAAAGCTGTGTGTAGGTTGGCAGCCAGAAGCTGTACCACCTTGAGTCACGTAAATATGTGACTCATCATAATACACGTGACAGCCCCATCTAGTGGACACCTTTTGTTTCTGCACATACCTGTAGTTATCATCCATTTATTGTTATTAAGGAGAAATCCTCAATATATCGTGATACTGATTTTAGTCGCCCAGCCCTAGCTTCAACTGAAACAAAAAGGCAGAGCTGAGTCAATGACCTTCCACCTCCACTCCATCAGCAACACTGGAGAGGTCACTGGAGAGGTCACGCTCATTTTTTCTAAACTAAAATAGCTAGGTCTCGTGTTTACAATGTAAACAGTTGATTGCTCTTGTTTGTACAGATTTTTTAATTGATTCATTTGGTTTATTTGGAACATTTCAGACATTTAGAGGAGATGTTTCATATTTCTTGCACCAAATAACTGATAATAGTTTACACTTAAGCTTCATTCGGTTTGTTTTGCACTAAAAAAAAATACAACTTTTTGATTTTTTTCGCACAAATATTTCAACTTTGTGTCTTATTCTTGCTCTAGGAATAAAAAGTTTTGTTAAATGATTATTTACTGTTTGCAACTAAAGTTTGTTGTGTTTGTGTTTTTTGTTTATTAATCTAAGCAAACACACAACAAACTTTAGCTGCAAACAGTAAAGTTTATTGTTTTAATGTTCTTTTTTTGTTTATTAATCTAAGCATTTAGGTACTTTTTTCATCTTACAATAAGTATTAAAAGTAGAATTACAATAAAAAGTATCGTTCAGAAGCCGGTACCGACACCCAGCCCTGTTGTTATCTTTATCTGGAAGAGTTCCTGTTAGTTCAGCATTTAAGACTAAGTCAAATTTGCATCAGTCAAACTTTTTTGTTTTTCACCAACAAACTGAAGCAAAAAGCAATTACCGTTAATCCTCTAATATTGGCCTGTATTCAAAAAATGGCCGGGTATCATATTTTGGCCGGTGTCGGAGTCGGCGGAGGTGAATAATGGCCGGTTTTTTATTGTGGCCAGGTGGAATGTGGTAACAAGCAAGTAGGAGGGCGGTTGTGTCATTGTCTCACTTTTGATTTGCCAGTGATAGACTGCGAGGGTAACTTTAACCATGCGGAGATGAAGAGGAGGTGAAAATTTGATATCAAGTTCAAAGAGAACGTGCTGATTATGCTGCAGAACTTTCTGGGGAGCAGTAGGGGTTGTATGAACTAGTCACTAGTCGACTTCACCGCTCTATAGTGACTTTTTATGCCTGTCATCGACTAGTCACTGTCACGTGATAATGACCAGCAAGATGCAGTCCTCGGAAAAGACAGCAGCCTGCTGTCAGCAGGTGACGAACTCCTGCACGTCGGGAGGCGACGCGCTGTGCCAGAGCGTCGGTACTGACACCCGCCGTAAAACGGACATTTAACCAAATTGTGACGTTTACCCTCTTGCAATTTAACATTCCCCTCACCCCATCATAACCTTAACCAGCTTGCGCATGCAAAGCTCTGATTGTTGACGCGCTCCAGACATCTGCGTCCTGAGCACGGCCACAGTAACATTATCAAATCAGGTGTCGCCACCTCAAAAACTAATTTAACACGCGATTGTTCATGTCGGCTCATTTCCTTTAATGTTTTCGGTCTTTTATTCTTTTATTTGTGCCTGATGCGTTTCGCTGCTGTGGAGCGGGGCGCATCACCTGTTTTGTTCTCGGTGATGCACCTAACTGATGCGGCCGGGAGCACTCCGCTGTTTTTGAGGTCGGTAGATCTTTTAGAACTGCAGTTCAAAGGTAGCTCATGAGGTGAATATATATGAACCCAGGTAGCAGTTTCTCTTTAGGATTGAGAGGAGATGCAGGAAGATAATAAAGAGACAGGACAGAAAAATAGTCAAATAAAAACAAGTTAGTTTTTGTACCTGGTGGTTGCAACAAACAGACACCATTGAAGGTAATCAGAAGTGAGGAACAGAAAATGAAATAATTATTTTAACGTTTAGAGCAGCAGGAACTCCGAGAGGCTGCAGGCGCATCAGTGAGTTTGCGGCCGCTGCGCAGGGGGAGGGGAGAGAGGGCTGAAGCAGAAACTACCGTTGTTAAAAGAAATGTGTTTAACTTTGAAAATGTGGGCGCAATTTTAATTGTCAAAAACTCCAGCGAACCATTAGTTTATTTTGCTCAAATAGAAATTGAGGCCTGCCTCTAATTCTGGCCCTCCTTCCAATAAAGGCCTGGAGCTTGAGTAAAATACAGGCCCGGGCCTGTATTAGAGGATTTACGGTAAGCAGGTAAAACCTAACAAATACCCAGACGGAAAAAAACATCTTAAAAACTACTTCCACAAACCTTGTCATCATCTCCGTATCCAGAGTAGCAGGTGACCGTGAAGTACTGCAGAAGGTCGATGCTGTCGTCTTCATAATCCCCACTCAGGCCTCCTTTCAGCAGCGCCTCCCTGTGATTGTCATACCTGTCACACAGAAAACATCGATATAACTTAGAGAGCGCTGCTGATTAATGCCATTTCATCTAGAGGAGACGTGGACGCACCAGGCTCTCTCCTGCGGATCACTGAGGACATCGTAAGCTGCTTGAATCAGCTTAAACTGCTCCGCCGCCTCCTCGGCATTCTCTAGGTTTTTATCTGAGAATCAAAGAAAGAGAGGACACTGACGTAAGCAGGGAAACACAAAGCTCCGATCGATCAAAAACCCCTCAGAATGACGAAGAATCTAACACATAGCTACTACTAATATGGCTCTGGAGCCACAACGGCTCCTAATACCTATGGCTAAAAATTATTAAAAACTACCTCATGGTTTATATACAGATATAATTTTAAAAATGCAGAATTAAGCAGCTTTTTCTTTTGTTATATAATAGTTGCATTCAATTTCTATACAAAAAAATAAGCTAAAAGTAAAATTTTTTAGATCCTTTTTTTTTTTTTTACATCATCCATCCATCAATTCTCGTTCGCTAATTCGGGTTCGGGTTGCGGGGTTGGCAGCCTAAGCAGACAGGCCCAGACTTCCCTCTCCCCAGCCACTTGGGCCAGCTCCTCTGTGAGAATGCCAAGGCGTTCCCCGGCCATCCGAGAGGCATAGTCCCTCCAGCGTGTCCTGGGTCTTCCTTTAGGTCTCCTCCCAGTTGGACGTGCCCGGAAAACCTCACCAGGGAAACGTTCATGAGGCATCCTAATCAGATGCCCGAGCCACCTCCACTGGCTCCTCTCGACGTGGAGAAGCAGCAGATCTACTCCGAGCCCCTCCCGGATGACCGAGCTTCTCACCCTATCTCTAAGGGAGAGCCCAGCCACCCTGCGGAGAAAACTATTTTCTGCTGCTTGTATCCCTGATCTCGCTCTTTCGGTCACTACCCAAAGCTCATGACCATAGATGAGGGTTGGAACATTTTACATTGCTTTCTGAAAATATGAACATCCCAAAAAAATCCAGTCATTTAGCAAATGTTTTATCTTAAAAAAAATACTATAAAAATAAATAGCAATTAGAAACAAAACTGTGTTTAAGAATCATGATAAATCCATTACATCAGATATTTATGGAAGAGGGGCAAAAATGTCTGACTTTTTTCTTAGATTTTTTATATTATTGCTATAATTTCTAATACTTCAGACAGAGAAAAAATAACATTTTTAATCTCTTTGTAGATACTTCTCAAAAATTATCATTTTCCCACAAGGTCCTGTAACAGCTGCAGCTCTAAAGATGTATTCTGGTGGACTGAGGGGGGCAGACCACTGGTTTAGATCGTTACCGCTCGGTAGTTTTATTCAGTCTAGCTCAGCTGTCTGCAACATTAAAAAAACATCTCTCCTACAAAATAAAACCATTTTAAGCCACAAAATGTATGTTGCTCATATATTTAATAAAAAGGAGTAAAGCAAATCCTCTGATAAAAGATATTTGACTTATTTACTAAAACAGTTTATATATTAAGCTTCATTTGTTGGGCCTTTATTTGAATTTCTCTTTGTTGTGAGACTAACTAACTTGATTAATGTACTGTAAAATCTATAAAGATGTGCAAAAACCTCAGCTTTTACAGCAATTTGCCTCCAATGTGTAGAAACACTGTAAAATTAAAGTCTGCATCAAGACAAAAATGCTGTTAAATAAAAGGTAAAACACAAAATTGGGAAACCAAATTGTGGAACTGAATAGCTGTGAGGCTGTGTGAAGAATCAGTTAACAATAAATCTCAGGAAGACTATTTTCTATTAAAAACACTGAGCTCACACAATCAGTCTCCTTATTTTATTCTACCCTGAAACAAACATCCATGTATAGTTTGTAATAAATTTGGATTGAAAACATTCTAAAACTCCTTTTTAAGTTGTCTAGCTAAATTTAAATAAGTTCCAGGTTCATTTTGATTGAATTTACATCATTAAAAGACAAATGAGAGAAAGAGCAGCAAAAATATGTGGAAATCAAAGAGAAGACTAAATCAACAATAAAAAGCAGATTCTCGATCATCAGGTTTCCACAACGTTTCACATGAACAAACAACCCCAGTAACAGTAATCAGTTAGTACAGAAATCAGTTAGTACAGAAATCTGTAACAATATTCCTGACATTCCGCTGTGCCTGAAGCCCACATGCTTAAGCTTGAACAACCACTCACCTGGGTGCCATTTCAGGGCTAATTTTCTATACGCTTTCTTCAGGTCATCATCTCCTGCGTCCCGTTTCACACCCAGCACTTCATAGTGACAATGCATCCTTTCACACCTACAGGGACTAAAAACTCAAATGTCACGTTTTCCCAGGCGAGGCTAGTTAGCGTTTAGCAGCTAACAACCAGGTAGTATCTCTTCTACGTTATAGAAACAGAATGACGTATTGTATTTTAATGCCCATAGCGTCATATTAGAGGTTTACATTTATAAATATATGTATTTATCTTATTCACTCAAAAATGACTATAAATACGGATAATTGCTATGAAATGTGGCTAGTAGAGCCGGCGCCGCTAAGTCTCGCGAGACTTCCTCTTGACAAATCAAATTCGGCCAACTTCGGAGTTGTCTTTTGTTGCCCTCTAGTGGTAAGATTTGGCCATCACATACATTTAGATTATGATACTTTTTTCCCGAAAATCCTGAATAAAATGTAATGTTTATAGGAAAACATTTAAACTTTGTAAACACTATCAAGAAGATGCCAGTTTACATGACATTCCAAACCAAGCAAATTTATAATCCATCTTCTTTTTCTTCAATAATCTATTAGATTAGTCGCTTCATTGGCTCCTTTACTTCACTAAACTGGTATTGGCAACATTTAGATTTTATAAATCATCACAATAATAGCTTAATTGTTTTGTTGTTGTTGTTCATCATTGATTTCTTAAAATAGAGGGGAAGTAATATCCAACACAGTATCACCCAGACTGTTGTTAAAATTTATTAGAGTGCAAACACTGCTTTGACGTTACCGTTTTAAGTTAGGAGATATTAACTGAAATCTTATCTCCTGAATCTGATGGTTTTCAGGTGGAGAGTGAGCTTCAATTGTGGAGGAGGATGCCGGTCAGACCTGGCAGGCCCAAACATATGTGAGGGTCAGCTGGGAACGTCTGGCAGAGTCTCCTGTCAGAAGAAGTTTCAATTCCCACCTCAGACAGAACTTCCAAAATGTTTCGGGGGAGAAGGGGGACACTGAGTCCGAGTGGCCCATGTTCCGTGCTTCCATTGTCGAGACGGCCGACCTGAGCTGTGGCTGCAGGGTCACCAGTGCCTGTCGTGGTGGCAGTCCCTGAACCCGCTGGTGGACACCGACAGGGATGCCATCAATCTGGAGAAAGAGTCCTATCGGGTCTTTTTGACCTGTGGGACTCCAGAGGCAGCTGAGGGGTACTGGCAAGCCAAGCGGAATACGGCCCTGGTGGTCACAAAAACCCGGGCATGGGAGGAGTTCAGTGAAACCTTGGGACAAGACTTCCATACGGCTTTGAGGAGATTCTGGTCCAACATCCGGCACCTCAGGAGAAGAAAGCAGTGCACTAACAACACTGTTTATGGTGGGGACGGTGTGTTGCTGACCTCGACTCCGGACGTTGTGGATTGGTGGGAGGAGTACTTCTAAGACCTCCTCATTCCCATGTCTTCCAGTGAGAAAGCTGAGTCTGGGGACTTTTGTTGGGCTCTAATCTCTGGTGCTGAGGTCACTGAGGTTGTCAAAAAGCTCCTCTGTGGCAAGGCTCCAGGGGTGGATGAGATTCGACCAGAGTTCTTTAAAGCTCTGAGGCCTCATTTATCAAGCTTGCTTACGCACAAAACAGGGTTGGAAAACTGCGTAAGCAACTTTCTACACAAACTTTGGGATTTATGAAAGAAAACTTTGCAGAAAAATGTGCGCAACTTTAAGTTGACTAAGGACCTTGCTTACACACATTTTGGACATGGAGAGCACCTGCAGTGCTGCTGCTGAGAAGGATACAATTATGAAATCCTGGAGCATGATCACTTGTACTGCTTCGTTTTCACACAGAACAAACCCCCCCCACACACACACACGCACGCGTACACACATACACACACACACACACACAGGCGTACACACACACACACAGCCTGAAGCGCAGAATATGGAATGCTGAATATCAGTAGGGGGACAGACTGAGACAGAATGTCATGCTTCTGTGACAATGTGAGTGTCCTGTCACTGTGACCCGATTAATCATGCGCTCTGGCTACTTGTACAAGGGAGATCTCTGTTTGGGTGACTGGTTAGCACGCATGACTTTCACCCAGGAGTTTGGGGATTGAATCCTGATTGGACCATTTTTTATATCCGCCACAGATCTCTCTGAAGAATTCACAACATTGACGGCTTCAGCAACGTTGTGCCACTCCGTGGATTTTCTCTTATTTGTTTTGCAAAAGCCCTTCCTTTCATTTCGCCACCTCATCCACAAGTACCTCAATTTCTGCTTCTGTAAAATTGTGCATCCTTGATCTGCCTTGATCTACGGTCGCCATGTCATTGGCGGAGCGCTGCAACAGCCGGCTTACGTATATGCATGAGATCCACAAGGCACTTTGCATTGACAATTTATGGCAGTAAGTGGGCGTGGTGAGGGTGGGATGTGACTAAAATGCAGCTGAGAAACATTCTCGTTAGTCTCCGATTTATGAAGCGGAGATTGCGTGCAGGCCCCCGGGTCGACCCAGGACATGTTGGAGAGGTTACATCTCCAATCTGGTCCGGGAACGCCTTGGGGTCCTGCTGGAGGAGCTGGTGGAGAAGGCCGGGGAGAGGACAGTCTGGAGCTCCGTAGTTGGGATGCTGCCCCCGCGACCCGGACCCGGATAAGCGGAGGAAGACGGCGATGATGACGACGACGACGACGAGATTGCGTGCAGCTGTGCGTTCTCCATGTTTGATAGATCACAAACCTACTTGGCGTAAGTACTTTTTTTTTTTTTGCTGAGCTTAAGTATGGTTTTAGTAAGGATTCTACGCAATGTTTGATAAATGAGACCCCTGGATGTTGTAGGGCTGTGTTGGCTGACACGGCTCTGCAATATCGCATGGACAATGTGGGCAGTTCCACTGGATTGACAGACCGGGGTGGGGGGGTCCCCCTATTTAAAAAGAGGGGCTGTAGGGTGTGTTCCAACTACAGAGGGATCACACTCCTGAGCCTCCATGGTAAGGTCTATTCTGTGGTTCTGGAGAGGAGGGTGTGGCATATTGTTGATCCTCTGATTCAGGAGGAGCAATGTGGTTTTCGTCCTGACCCTGAAACATTTGGACCAACTCTATACCCTAAGAGGGGTCGTGGATTTTGCCCAACCAATCTACATGTGTGTTGTGGATTTAGAGAAGGCTATCAACCTCGCCCTCTGGGGGGCTCTGGGGGTACTCTGGGAGTATGGGGTACCAGGCCCTTGATATGGGCTGTTAGGTCCCTGTATGACTGGTGCCAGAGCTTGGTCCGCATTGCCGGCAGTAAGTTTGGATTGTTCTCGGTGAGAGTTGGACTCCGCCAAGGCTGCCCGTTGTCACCGATTCTATTCATAACTTTTATGGACAAGATTTCTAGGTGCAGCTAAGATGGTAGCCTAGGGATTGACTTTCTGCTTTTTGCAGATGATGTGGTCCTGTTGGCTTCATCAGAACGTGATCTTCAGCTCTCACTGGAGCAGGTCACAGCTGAGTGAAGCAGCTGGGATGAGAGTTGGCTCATCTGATCCAAGAACATGGTCTTGAGTCGGAAAAGGGTGGAATGCCTTCTTCGGGTCAGGGATGAGGCCTGCCCCAAGTGGAGAAGTTTAAGTATCTCGGGATCTTGTTCACTAGTGAGGGAAGAATGGAGCACGAGATCAACCTACACCTTTTGGAAAAGTCCAATAAATCAAATCATGCAGCTAGATCAGGATTAGTGTGGCAGCTGTATTTTGTATGGTATGGAGGAAATATACAAAAAATAAACAATCTGCATTTATTTCCACATAGATGATAATGACAGAATGAGAAAGCGGAGGAGTTTAATTATCTTGGGGTCTTGTTCATGAGTGAGGGAAAAATTGAGCGTGAGATCAACTGGCGGATTGCTGTTGCGTCTGCAGTATTGCGGGCATTGTACCAATCTGCTGTGGTGAAGAGAGAGCTGGGCCGGAAGGCAAAGCTCTCGATTTACCGGTCGATCTACTTTCCAACCCTCACCTATGGTAGTGACTGAAAGAATGAGATCGCGGACACAAGCGGCTGAAAGGAGTTTTCTCCGCAGGGTGTCTGGGCTCTCTTTGAGACAGGATGAGAAGCGCAGTCATCCGGGAGGGGCTCAGAGTAGACCTGCTGCTCCTCCACATTGAGAGGAGCCAGTTGAGGTGGCTCGGGCATCTAGTTAGGATGTCTAATGGATGCTGGTGAGGTTTTCTGGGCACGTTCAACCGGGAGAAGACCTAAAGAAAGACCCAGGACACGCTGGAGGGACCATGTCTCATGGCTGGCCAGGGAACGCCTTAGGATTCCCCCAGAGGAGCTGGCCCAAGTGACTGGGAAGAGGGAAGTCTTGGCCTCCATGCTTAGGCTGCTGTCCCTGTGACCCGACCCTGGATAAGCTGGTGAAAATGGATGGATTGTCTCCTGAATCAATTTACAAACATTTATCAGTTCATGAAAAGCAATAAAATAAAATAAGCACTGCCATATTGTGCTGCAGATTGTGGAGTTAACTTTGCACCAGTTGTTTTTGACTGATATTTAATAAAATGAATGCTATTTTTAAAAGAAACGGCATGACATTTCACAAAGAAGAAATGGGATAGCTGAAAAGTTAAAAAAAATACAACAAAAACCATGAAAAATGCATGTACAGCTGCAGGAGTAAATTTTTATGTTTGGGTGTGAGCAAATGATTTCATTAAATCAATACGGTTGGCATTTTTCTATATAACTTCTAATATTTTTCTGACTAATTTACATTTATGCCGTTCACTCTGCTCTGAACGCAATTTCTGTTGCAGTACCGCCTCGGGCCACTGGGGGTTCATCTCTGGGTGAACTTGCTGGACATTGTGTGGTTCTCGCGAGATTTGCATGGAAACATGGCAGCATCCAAAAGAAAACGTGGAGGACAGGGTCCCGTCAACAAGAAGGCTAAAAAGGGTAAATTTGTGGTAGACCAAAGAGAAAGTCAAGCTGAAGCTGAACCAGAGACGAAAAATGAAGTCACAGTCCCAGCACCGGTCTCAATGGTAAGTGTTGGGGTATGTTAGCTTGTTAGCCTGCAGTCTGCTAGTGAACACACGGACCTAAAGGTTCGTTTTTACTCGTTCTAAATTGTTTAACTACATAATTATTTTATACAAAAGTGAGTAAAGGTCAGTAAGGTCTACTAATGCTTCGCTAGCAGTCACATATTTGTGTTTAAAGGTGTTGAGTGTTAATTTAGAATGGACTGTTGATCCCACAATGGGGAAATTCACTTGCTACAGCTGCACAAACTCTTAATAACTCGAAGAAAAATAACAAAGGTGTATGTCTTTACGCATAGGCAGTAAGCTGTTATTGTAACCTTCGACCACTAAAAACTACAATTAAAAATGAAACTTGGGTTCCAGAACTATGCAGCATACTGTAAGGGACACAGTCATGCTATGTAAATCCACACACTGAATATTTTATGTGGAGCTAGGCTTTTCTTAAGTTACCAGTTGTATTAATCCGACATGTCATATTTTGTTTTCCTTTTGTTTTTGATTTCTTTAATTTCCACTCATTTACTCCAGCCCATGAACACAATAGACAGTCAGACAAATAAGTTATTCAAGTGATTTTCTAATCTTTACCCTTTTGACAAAAGATGAAAAACCCATGAATTCTTCAGTTACTTTTATTGGTATTCAGATATTTAAAAAGCCTCAAGGGTGCCTAACAAGGTGTTTCACTTGGGTATTTATCCAATGCTATGATGTCATCATTACTTGTGAACAGGGCAAATGGACCAACAAGGAAAGAGTTCTAATCTTCTCCTCTAGAGGAATCAACTTCAGAACAAGACACTTGATGCAGGACCTGAGGACCATGATGCCTCATGCGAAAGCAGGTTGGTATGCAAATACGACCTTCTCAGCTCGATCTGCACTGACGACCAGAGTTAACCCTCTCCATGTTGAGCTGAACCCGAGTGACCAGACTATTTTTCTATCTAGATACAAAAATGGACCGGAAGGACAAGTTGTTTGTCATCAATGAGGTGAGTTTGCTTTAGAGTTTAGGACGTTTTGCACCATCGTATACTTTAAAGCAGTGTTTGAGATCAGTGTTGTTTTGCAGGTGTGTGAGATGAAAAACTGCAACAAGTGCCTGTTTTTTGAGGCTAAGAAAAAGCAGGACCTCTACATGTGGTGAGAGTTTGATCCACGCAGATTGTTAGCCTAGAATGCTGTCAGGTAAATGTAATGATGTTCTTTCTCTAAAGGATCTCGAACTGCCCGCACGGACCTTCAGCAAAGTTTTTGGTTCAGAACAGTAAGTTGCTTCTGTCTTATAAGTCTTGGGCACAGGTACCTGCTTTGCAAAGCATCAATAATTTATTCCATCGTCTTTACAGTTCATACACTGGCTGAACTCAAAATGACAGGAAACTGCCTGAAAGGATCCAGACCACTGCTATCGTTTGATCCTGTGAGTATCGAGCATCCTTAAGTGTTAAATGAATTTGCTCGTTTGCTGGATAAATGTTTTAGTCGACGCTCCAGAAGTATGAGTTTTATTTCTCGTGCAGAAATTTGACACGGAGCCCCACTACGCTGTACTTAAAGAGCTCTTCATTCAGGTATGTATTCATAGTGAAAATGGGGGGCTGCACATCATGCAAAATTCATAGCATTTTAAAATATACAAATCAAATCAAACTTTATTTATATAGCACTTTTCATGCATAGGATGCAACACAAAGTGCTTAACAGCTTAAAATGACCCATATAACCCACATTCCCTCCCTTTCCCACACTTAAAACAATTTTCACCCCAAATCCGCAAACCATTCCCAGGCGCGCACACACACATTAAGACACACACGCACACTCTCGTACACATAACACATTAAAAGACCACAGTAAACACTAGGCTGAGCTCAGATTGGACAGGTAATGAAAGACACGCCATCAAGGGAGCCATCTGCCTCGACAGCAGCAGATCGACGGCAGCAGCCAAGACACCAATCCAGGGCGCCCTGGGAGGGAGGGTGGCAACCCCCCACATTTACCTGGGCACTACCCAAGGAGCACCCCCAGCCACTGCCACCGGTCCCAAGGCAGAGGGCTCCACAGAGGAATCACTGGAAGGATTAAAATATGTGACGTAAAATAACAAGAATACAAGCGCAACAACAAGCTAATATGGAAAATATGTAAAATGTATGATGTAAAATATCCAATAAAATGTGATTATACAAATAAAACATAAATGTGTAACACAACAGTAATTAAAATAGGTAAAACAAGCAATGCAATAAATAGTAATCAGTTAAAAGCTAAACTAAAAAGGTGGGTCTTGAGCCTGTTCTTAACAACATGAATGTTCTCTGCAGCCCTGAGATCCTCCGGCAGCCCGTTCCAGAGGCGAGGGCTGTAAAAACTAAAACTAAACCTACCATTTAATGTAAAATTTAGCTAAATTTTGACGTTGCATTATCTGCAGCTTAAGCAAAAAATTAAGGCTGTAAAACATTGACTCGTGCATTCATTAAACTTCCTCCTTCTAGACGTTTTCTACTCCACGTTACCACCCTAGGAGTCAGCCATTTGTGGACCACGTCTTCACCTTCACCATTGTAGACAACAGGATTTGGTTTAGAAACTACCAGGTAACGTTTTACTGGGTCAAGGCTGCAGATTTAAGTTTCAGTACATTTTTTTTTAGCTTCGTAAAGGCAATGATTTAAGTGTTCTAAATTTATTAATCATTTTTGCATCATTTCTTTCCCTGCTCAGATAATTGAGGAGAATGCCGCTCTGGTGGAGATCGGACCTCGATTTGTTCTCAACCTCATGAAAGTCTTTCAGGGAAGTTTTGGAGGACCCACGCTCTACGAAAACCCCGTCTTCCAGTCTCCTAACTTGGTAAAATCCTCCACACATTTATAAGATACATTTGAACTAGTCATGCTTAACTCATTCACTGCCAATGACGACTAAAGTCGTCATTTGCATCTTTTTACTGTGTGGGCGTCGGAACGAGCCCCCGCACCGTGACAACAAACATCCCAGCTCTAAAGCTGATCTTCATCCTTGTACGTCACGTGATCAGGAAGCAGAAAATCCAAGTGTTAGGAGATCGTTTCGGGCCGCTGCTTTAAAAAAAAGTGAGGCGCAAACCGGAAAAGCTTCTGCCGATCACAATTCGACAACGGATTATGAAAGATAACGCTCAAAACGCGCTGATTCTCCCTGATTTAAGAGGTGAGTCTCCTCTTTGTTTTGTCAGTTTTGGCATCGACATCATCCTTGTGCGCAACGTTCTGTAACACTTTACAGCAGGAGTAGGGAACCCTGGTCCATTGAGGGCCGCTATCCAGCATATTTTGGTTTCAACCCAGCATCATCACACCTGATTTCAATCAGCAGGTAACTAACAAGCTTCTGCAGAGCTTGATGAGCTGCTGAGCAGGTGAATCAACCACTGAATCAGAAGTGTTGGAGCAAAGACATGCAGGATACCGGCCCTCGAGGACCAGGGTTCCCCACTCCTGCTTTGCAGGGTATCCGCAGAGTCTTGAAAAGTATTTAAAGGTGATAAATCAATTTTGGTAAAAGTAAGACCCTTAAAAAGTCTTATCACGGCTTTATAAAGTCTTAAATTTTGAATTTTTTTCTGAATTAACCGTCCAACAGTTTGAATCCCTAAAACATCGTAAAAGCGTGTGCGTTTAGTCATTTTTATTTAAAAAACGAACAGGGTATTGTGGGTGCTGTAGTAATTTTCCTCTCGGAGCACCAGGGTGGGCGGGGCGAAGGTTTAAAACCACAATGTACGCTCTGGTGTTCCCGGTGCGCATTACAGACGCACCGAAATGTTAAAAGTATCACTGATCACTGTGAATGGATACACCTTGAAATGGCGGTGAGGTATTAAAAAATATTCAGAAGGTCTTCAAAAAGTCTTGAAAAGGTATTAAATTTAACCAAGATTCCTGCATATACCCTGCTTTAAAAAAAACTGTGAAAACAGTGAAAAACGCTGGCAACGAAGGGCTTTTCTGATCAGGTAACAGCTGGCAGTGAGTGAGTTAATGCCTCTGACATCTGGCTCTTCTGAGTTAGTAGTATCCATGATGTTGTTGTCTGCTGTCTGTGATTTTGCATTGGACAAGCACAGCTGTTTTTCATACTTAAGTATATTTATGGTGACCAAGTCAAAAATAAAAGCAGAATTCAGCCATAATGGCAATCCTTTTGTTTTCTACCTACAGCACAGACAGCAGCTCCGCCTGGCTGCAGCAGCCAAAGTGCGCGAGAAGCAGGCGGTGAAGGACTTGCAGAAAGTCAAGAGGACCATGGCGAAGGAAACCCTGGACAAGGACGTCACGGACGACGTCTTCCTCACACCGGCCGAGAAGAAGCCTGTCCACATTCAGACAGAAGCGCCAGAGCCAAAAGTGGTGAAAAAGAACAAACACAAAGCTTTCAAAAGGCAAAGGATGCAGCGGCTACGCAGATAGACTGGATTCGTCTGAGTGGATGATGTCATGCTTTTCTCTTTTGTGTAATGCAAGTCTGGTTTTCAGCACGCAGTCTTCTGTTAATGCTCGTTAAAAGTTGTGGACTGACTTTGTGACGTAAATGCTGATGAAAGCTGGACACACGGCTGACCTGCTTTAATAACAAACAACTTTTTAAATAAAAACAGTTTCAGTTCAGTTTTTGTAATAAGAATAAAACTGTTCAACATATAACAACAGATGTGAACGTTTCTTAACATTCAACATAGAATTCTCTACTGTAACTGAATTGTCTAAATAAACTGACAACATCGACAGCTCAGGCATTTTGGTAAAATGAAAACATTTCTTTTCCCCAGAAATCAAACATCTTTTCCTCGTTTTGCTGTTAAAATAAATCTAGTTCCTTTATGAACTTGATGCTGACATAAGTTACCAAGTCAATCTGCTAACAGCTTTCAGGTATTAACTACCAACAGGAAAATATGATGAATCTAGACTCAATTTTTCTTTCCTGCAATCATCTGTGGTCCATTTTAACTTGATGGTGAAAAGCAGCTGAAATGAGGCTCCTACGAATCCTCCTCCACCTCCTCATCAGGGCAGCAGAAATACTCCACGAAGCAGATCTGTCCGTCATCGTTCCTGACGAGGTACTGCAGAGAGAGGAACCCCCTGCTGTCTGTCCTCACAGAGACTTTACAGGACAAAGTCAAGGCTTTGGTGGACGGCTTAAGCAAGGACATCTTGTATCTGCCACAGGAGGAGGAACATAGAGCAAGAAAACGTAACCAGATTTTTGTTGTCACACACAGATGCATGAAAGCAGCAAAGAAAGACAATGAACGTGGCTCTGCTGCAGCCACCATAAGGAAGCAGGAACTCTACAGGGTCTAATATCAGGAGCTGAGTAACATGGAAACGAACTTCCTCCTAAAGTGATGTGACAGGTTTTTTTTTCTTTTTTACGTGAAACAGTGATGTCTGATCCTGGTGCTGGACGGCCACCATCCTGCATGCTTCAGAGGCTTCTGCCTTACCACACCTGATTTTAATCGGGTGACTTACACCGGGTGTGGAACGGATGTAATCTGGTTTCCACACAGCCGCTGTATGGACCAAGTACACCAACAGCAGAACACCTCTGGAAATTTGCTCCAGCGAGAGCACCAAACCTCACGTAAGAAATCTGACACAATACATTCAAATGTATACCTGTAAATTTAACACGAGCTATTCTATACTGTGTACTGGTTTTCCTGTTGATAATAATAAAAACGCCATAAAACAATGCAACACACATTTTATTTTAAAATATACCAGATGCACTTTGTTCACCAACGTCTCACTTCCTGTCTGGCTAATGTAATTTCTTTAACTTCATGAAAATCTGTGTCATCTGGAAATAACTCCGTATCAGGATCTGGGTGGATCTGTAAATTTCCTGACAGGAATGCGTACAGCTCCCGTTCTGCACTCAGAGTAAGTGAAGGATTAGTCATTCAACTAAGTGTGTTGGAGCTGGAAACAACTAAAACATGCTGGATAGTGTCTCACATGCACCGTGAGACACCACTGATGTAATAAAAGCACTTTTACAGCCTGACTGCGCTCACCTGTTGGTTTGTGTCTCCTTGCACCGGAACAGCTCCATCATATCTGAATCCTTAGAATAATCATAATGGGCACTTCCAGAACTCCCAAATGTAGACAGCCTGAAAAGTTGGACAAAAACAGATCATCCATTAGACAGAAAGAGGCATCTGTGATAAATGAAACTCAAGAGTCTAGTAGGGGCAAGGATGGAAGATGTGGATGGAATGCTGGCAAAAGATTGCTCCAGGAAGTAAATACTGAGTATAATTTGGACAGTCTACCTGAAGTACGGTTGGCTGGGGGACATGGTGATCTGCAGCATCTCACTGGTCAGATCCAGCTCAGAAAAGGCTTCCTTCAAACTCTCCGACTGCAGGATCACCTTTAAAATTACACCAGATTAAAAATGCTTTAGTGTTTTTACAGGTGTGATTTAATGAAGGATAGCACATTTCTTTACATAATGACTAATATATTATTTTCTTTATCTTATTTTTCAACAGATTTCACAGAGGATTGAACCTTGTTCGTGACATTGCTGCTGCAAAAATCAAAATCGATCGGTTCTTCTGGTTCTTCAGTGTTAATCTTGCAGACTGTGACTACACCACCCTCCTCCAGGAATAATGTCAGGGGGTATCCGTACCCTTTGTAACACATCCGCAAGGCTGTTGAAATTCCTGCAATTTTATAAAATGGTTAAATAAACATTTAAAACTGTACATCAGGTGTTTGGAATAGAGTTTCAGTTTCTGATTTGACCTGCTGAAGTGCTTCCCCCAAAGATGTTCAGGCAGTCGAGCAGAACTGTGAGGTTAACTTGGAAAGTGATCAAATCTTCTTTTATGGTGAACTCTTGGAAAATGTCTGCCTAAAGAGATACAACTTTTGTTTAGGGTTTCAAGCAAACTGTCATTTATTTGGGATTCATTCTAAAAGTAAAGATTTCTTTTAAAAATATACTAACTTTTTAAAAAGCACCAAACACACCTGAATGAAAGCATTTGCCTGCACACATTTGCAGTCCTCGACGGTGACTTTCAGGCCGTTGGGTGTTGTGGTGAAAACAGCATGGTCCTTAAAGCTGATCGCTTTCAGTAAATTGGAGAGATTGCGGGCATTATCTAAACTGGTCATTAAAATGTATTGCTCATCTTCACCTTGAGATTGTGTGGACAGAGGCATTGCAGAACTGAAATAAAAAGATAAGAGTTTAAAAAAACAGTTATATTATCATAAAATTATATTTTATTTATCAGAACTTGCCATGTCAACAAGCAAAAACAGGCCAGGCCATGCTACTTTCAGGACAGCAGGGGACACACACAGCTAATGTTACAGTTTGCAGGTGTTTTGCACCAGATTGTTTTTGTGTCTCCTGTGATGTCTGGTCATTTAGGGACACAAGTCATAATATTTTAATTTTCTTTGACTCTGTATTTTGTTCTGAATGTAGTATCTTTATAATAATTTGCCCATCTTATGTTTTTGAGTGTTTTTCTTTCAGCTGAGTCTTGTAAAGGAATACAGCTGAAAGAAAAACAAATTCCTGCCACTCTACTGTCTTTTGGCGTTTCCTGGCAGGTCTTTTCCATGTAAATACATAAACAGTTTTTTACATCGCGAATCAAAATGCAGACAAGTAACATGTAGGTTTCACTTCAAGTGTGTTAATTCCTGGGTGCTTTACAAAAGCATCTACGCACATAGAACGTAGCTAGCCGAGCAACAACAAAATTAACACGGAAGCTGTAAATAAAAGAGACGCTGCGACTTCCGGTAGATGTTTTTCACTATTAAGAGTTTTCCGTAAATGACATTTAAAACTATTACCAAAGATGTAAGTCACTCACAAAAATTAGATACCAAAGCAGATGGGGCGCTTTGAAGAAAAGCGCCGAGCAACGAACAACTTCCGCTACGTCATCTACTTCCCCGGAAGTGGCATTAATGTTGGTTGGTACGTCTTGTTCCAGAGCTTTCGGAGTAAGGAAATAATCGGGAAAGGCAACATTCGCTAAGAAATTACGTGACAACACGGTTGTTTTGTCCGCTTGGTATCTTGAGGTAATATTTTGTAAATTAAATGTATTTGTCATAGTGATATTGCCGTGTAATATTTAGGTTTCTTATGTTTGCCGGTTAGCAAACGTTAACCGGAAGTTAGTGGTGGCTAATCAGTCTCAGGGCTGTATGTGTGTAATGGAAAACACTGACTTAACCCTAAATTAGTTGTTTAGTTGAATAGGTATAACTGATTATTTTGGTCTGGTTTTAGAAAATGATTGTCTGGTGGTTAAAGATTGTGCGCATGTCAGAAACTTACATGCGACTTTGCATTCTGCTCTTACTGTTACAAACATACATGTAACAAACCTAAAACTGCATAGAGGTTTATTTTTATTAGTATTTGTTTATTTTAGCCACATTGAATTGAAAGTTTCCCAGTATTTCAGTCTCAGTTGGTTTAATTTCAGGTATGTTCTGCAGATTTGTTGATAAAGTTTGCATCTTGGGAGTTTTGGTGATCCTTTATCTGAGCCCTATACCTACCCATTTGGAACTATAACATTTCACAAAGTGAACTAAAAGATATTTGAACAATGTAAAAAACAAAATAAATAAGTACAAATGAAGCACCCAGATTAAATGAGTTGGTACATTTAGAAAAAGCACCAGGTGAGTTTCAGTGGTGACATGATATTATAGTCGGTCAAAACGATGAATGAAAGTCAATGTACACAGCTATCTAGAACTTAACACAGCTGTTTGGGATCGCAATGTGTAGGATTGTGGTCAGCAAAGTGGTTATGGGCAGATACACGACATTTGAAGTCTACAGGTCAGAAGAAAATGAAGGAATAGTTTTATATAGCACCTCTCAAGATAAAAATCTTGATGCGTTTCACAAGAAAAAAAATAAAAAGATTTAAAAATATAGAAATGTGGACAAAAAATGTGATTTCAAAACTATGAGGAAAAAGAAAATGAATAAGAAAGAGGTAATCAGTGGATCCCAGGAAAGGCAGAATTGGTAGAAAAAGTTGACTGAGGAGAAGGTAGTGATGAAGAATCAGCCCAAGGTCACGCCAAAGCAGCCTGAACAAATGCGTTTTCAGCTGCTGCTTAAATGAGACCACTTAGTCCACTGATCTCAGGCTCAGGGAGAGAGAGTTCCAGAGTCTGGGGGCCACAGCAGCAAATGATCTGTCACCTTTGGTCTTTAGCCTGGTGTGTTGCACAACCAGTAGGCTTTGGTCGCTGGACCTCAGGGACCTGCTGGGGGTGTAGGGAGCCTCCCCCAAACAAAGTTTTCCTCACCAATGGGGGATCAAAAGGCATTTTCACATCTGGCCCAGCCTTGCCCGGTCCTGGTTAGGTCGGCCCACCCCTGCGCAGCCAGGTTTTGTACACACCATAATGTCTGTGGTCCACGCAGCCTTCTCAGGAATGCGGATGCCTCCAAGCATATGGGCGGTGCAAAAGACTTGCGGAAAAGTCTGTGGCGTCATCCTTAAATTAATAAACAAAAGCGGCTGTGAGCAGTGTCGTTTTCAGGGACACTCTCACTGAGACTGCTGTGTGCTCCTTAAAGCAGTTTGTCCTCACATTGCTGGAGTGGTGATTCTGAGCTTCAGTTAGAGAAGAAACTACCACAATACCGGCTGATAATGAATTGTACATGCGAGAAGCTGCTGCTGGCTGATTCTACTCGGTCGGTTGTTGGGGTGTTGAGTCGGGTCTGCACGAAGCTGACCGCTGGGGAGCAGGTCAATAAAATCCGGTCAGCTGAGCACAGAAAACACATACATTAGCCAGATGTGAACCCACTTAGCTACCAGGGCTGGGCTGGAGAGAACAGCAGTCTCAGACAACTTGGTTTAGCCATTCTATGTGTGGACTGCCATTATCTCAAGAACAGGAAGAGCTGCATTTTTTTTTACTGACAACTGTTGTATATTTTTGTCATAAATTGTGCTTTCTTCCTTTGCTTCATGTTTCTTTCATGTTAGCCTGTCTGAGCCACAGCCATGGTGTGCATTCCCTGCATTGTGATACCTGTCCTGTTGTGGGTCTACAAGAGGTTCCTAGAACCCATCATTTATCCTTTCATTTCACCCATCATTAACACCTTCTGGACCAAAAGAGCAGTGCAGGATACAAGCACCAGTGACCAGAAAGCCAATGAAAAAAGTAATGGAGCTTGCAAGGTAAGCTAATAGCAAATAATTTTCATTGACATTTTGATTAAAAAACAGAGCTTTTGTAAGGTGCACACTTTAGGACATCCTCAGGTCTCAGGAGAACTCTGTCTGACATCAAATCTAATAGTTTCAGACATCAGACCATAGAGGAAAAAAGCATCAGCGTTCTTTCAAAAAACATCAGACTTCAAACTAAACATCATCAGAAAAAAAGGTTTCAGGAAAAACTGTAATTTTCTTTAGCCAGTATGTGCTAAAACAACCCTTTCCTGGGTTAATGAAAGGCCACCCAGCCCCTATCACCCCCTGTGGCCAGAATATTCCACTTGCAACTTCAGACTGGCGGGCCACTTTCTCAGGTCCTAGAGAAAATGGAACTGACATACCTGGCGCTGCAATCTGGTTCCAGCATGTTTTTAATCATGAACGCATCTGATATGTTTGATTTAATGATGAATCACTCCTGTAGGAACGCGTAGGAAGGCTGGGAGACATTTCAGCTGTTAGATTAAGGAACGAACATGGAGGAGATAGCTTTTGTTTTCTGTTCTACAAACGGACACGAGGGGGTGCTAAAAGCGAGGAAAAACTGCCTTGTTCCTCTTTAAGGGACAAAGTGAGACATTGATGCACTGTAGCAGATTATAGCTAGACTGCTAGTTTCCATATGTAGTCCCAATAGCAACAAATACTTAAACAAACGAAACAAAAACTTAAATAATAATAAAATAAAGCTTTCTCAAAAATCTATCGTGGTGCTGTTTTGAAGCCTGCGCATTATTTCGGGAGCAAAAACTGTGATGGGAACATCTCCTAGTGTTTGGAAAAGATCTGACGAGTTTTTGAATGAAAGCTGATTCTTTTTGTCTCTATGGTCTGACAATGTTTTCCTAGAACTGAGGATGTTCCAAAAGGTATTCCAATGGGTTTGGCTCTGAATTAGATTTGGGAAAATGATGGATTACATTCAGCTGTGTTTTCCAAACCAGCATTGTTTAGCGTAGTTTTCTTTAAACATCTTTGGTGTGTCCTTGCTGTGTTGAAATTCTAAACGAAACGTTGCAGGTAAATAAAACCTTCCTGTGTTTTAAAAAGAACTAAAAGATGGAATCAGCAATGTTTAGGTTGTTTTAATTTTTTTCTCATGAAATACATCATCTTATGACTGTAACAGAATATGCATTTTAATACTGACACAGTAACATAAAGGTGTATAGTTGTTGGTAAATCTAACCCATTTGTGTTTTTTCTTGTCTTTCAGCCTGAAAGCAACGGTGAAATGGCTGTAAATGGAGCTACTATAGCAGCAAAGAAAACGGACTGAATGTTACAAACGCTTTAATCTCTGTAAATATTTCCATCATGAAATAAAAAATTAGTAGTTTTTTTAAAGCTTCTTTGCAGAGTATTTCTCTTATCTGATGGCACCATCTAGTGGCTGACAAGCATATCACACAAAAACTCTTGCTGTTTAAGATGGCGACTTCACGTTTCTGTTTATAAATGTGCTTCTGTAGCCGACAGAGCCAAAACACGCTGTTTTACGAGTAACATTCTCATGTCATGTTGTGTTCTCATATATTTATATTTTAGAGACTTACTTGTCCGTGAAAAGTTCATCAACTCTGCATCAGCCAAGGTATTCCTTAAATTTGAAGCAAGTAAGAGGTAGTCTAACGCTATTGGTTATTTCTGGTCAGCGCTCGGTTTCCTATTGCACAGAGCTCTGCGGGGCAGGGGGCGTGCTTAGCAAAAAAAAAAAGACGTATTGCTTACATTTTATCACAGTACATGATGAGATAATCACTTTTACGGATTTCTGAAAAATCATACATCATTTCTGAAAGGGGAAAACTCTGGAAAGCTGCTTTAAGCCAAGTTGTTTTCATAACAAAGTTTAATACATGTTTCAATTTTTTTACTTGTATTTGTATGATTCCTATCAGATTAATTTATTGCATTACTGTTGTCTTACTTAAAAACATTAACGGCTTTAATGAAACAATGTCAAAAGCTTCAAATAAATTAATTCTATTTCTGTTCTATTGAGACACTTTAGTGTGCGCCTCCAGAGAAAAATAACTTGTGGTCCTCCTAAAGGCAAAAATACTCCTTTAAAAAAAAGAAGGTACAAAATATATCTTAATTCAAATTCTGTTAGTGATTTTTCATGAATAATTGGTAAAATTCCAATATAAAGTTTTATTTAAGATTGTAGTTTTAATGTCAGTTTCTAATGAATGTGATTTAAAAATCAGTCTGGAGTTCTGTCACTTTTGTCCTCTGATCCTAGATAAACATATTTACAGATTTTATGGATGAAACAAAGTTAATAAACATACATTGATTGTGTCTGCCACTTGGTGTCTCATGTCCAACTTGGTGTTTTACTACAGTTTTAGGCCTCATCTCCTGAAGACTGATTCATAACTTGCATTTAGGTCCTGTGCTCTTATAATTTTTAGTTGTGTGTACTTTATTCGTTGTGTCGCGGTTGAAGGAAAGAAACGATGGATAAAAGAATGTACACCTTTAACTTACCAGAATAAAAATACTCTGGAAGGGAAGGTTTTGTCGCCTAAATATCTGCGATCCAAGTGAGCTGGCGAAACTTTATGTCAGATACTTGGTGCACGTGGTTCTGCCTCCAAGCAGGAAAACAGTGAAAGGTTAGCTTGTTTTCCACCTTTTCCCCTGGCGATCACGTGTTGCACCCCACAACACAGCAACAATTCACCATGGTTGTGTAATATACTCAAATGAGTAGATTAAGCTGCGAGAACGAGACTGACGAGCTGTTTACAGAAGTAACGATGAACAAATAATGACTTGTCAGTGATGACGATCACAAGCCCCTAAAGGCAGGGCCAGTCTACGTAAATATGTCTGTGGCCGTAGGGCCCGAACACTCCAGCCCCAAGCCCAACCAACACATTAGGATAGCACACATGACTTTACATTTATTATTTTATTGGACAGCAACCAGCACCAATTCACATTCCAGATATCTAGCTACCTAAAGTGGACTTTTCAACAATAAAGGATTTAAACAATTTCGCAGAACAAAATGGGGCAACAAAGGTGCATTTTGTTCTGCAGTTTGTTCTTTATCTAAATAAACTTTTAATATATACTTGCAATCTGTCATTTTATTTGATTGATAGCCAAATACTCTATAAGGGATTCATGTGTATTATTGAGGTCAACTGGATTAAGTTTAACCTTAAAGGCATGGAGTGCACTGTAATTGGCAATTATGATTTTTGGTTTAAATTTTGTCAAACATTAAAACAAAAGATGTTCCATCCAGTAACCCCAAAAATCTACGGAGCACACATAGTTTGGGGGGGGGGGGGGGGGGGTCTAATTATTTAATTTTTGATTTATTTTTTTATTTATTAAAAAAAATCTCAATACAGTATTGAGTTTGTCCTTAAATGTGATTTTAAAATAGAAAAACTGCCAATTTTTTAAAGTTGTTGTCCTTTCACAAACAAGTTCTGTTATGCTCAAAACTCACAGTTTTACACCTCATCAAACATCAATATAGTATAAGAGATGTGTTCTGTGTAATGGTAAATCTCTACAGCACTGGGTGGATAAAGGGTCAGTTTTTCACATTTGAGATAATAAGGGAAACTGGTTGACATATGATATTGACAGCAAAAAAACTGAATCTAAAAATATGTGTAAGTCGATTCCCCAGCCAGTCAACGCTATTAAGGAATATTTATCTCCACCCAACCTACCATCACTTAATATCACGGAACATGACTTTAAGAAAGAAATATCAAATAAAACTTTACGTAATAATTTGAATATTAATTTATACCCAGAACGTTTAAACATAAATTCTATTCTTCAGAAATTCTCTGAAGCAGAGGTTACAAAATGGAGAACCCAATATTTAAAATTCCCAGTAAGTTCGAAGGTAAAAAAAAAAAACATTTTAAAGTTTTGAATGGGATATATCCATCCAGTGAATTGCTTAGAATAATGTTTAACATTGACTATAACAACTGCATCTTTTGTGACTTTAATGTTGAAACCACAAACCATATTTTATTTCACTGCATTTATACAAATATGTTTTAGGACTGGCTTTATTCTTAAATCTAGCTGCAAGACTCTTTCACTCTGGACAGCATCATATTTGGAATCAACCTAAAGGAGTTACAAGCAGACTATGTTGTTAATGTACTAAAATTACTTTCAAAATATTGTATTCACTGCTCAAGGTGGAGGAAAGAAAAGCCTTTGTTCTCCGTATTTAAAAAGCAACTGATAGAAAACTATTTAACTGCTCTATATTACACAAAGAACAACAAAGCAGTGTTACTTCTGAATGCATTTGTTAACCTGAGAATATTTGAAGACCTCTAAGCTAATTATGCAAATATATGAATGGGGATGACCCCTGTCCCCTGTACTCTAATGCTTAGACAATGAATGTATAAATGGGTATGCTTTAACGTCTGTAATGTTGAAAATGTTCAATAAAATTTTTTACAAATGGTTATGGGGAAATGCTGTTCAGCGCATGCGCACTGTTGCAATGTTTTGTGATACGCATGCGCATCAGTGCTGCTAGTTAGGTATGCTTTTTTTTGTCCGTAGTTTTGTTTGAACGCTAAATAAACAGGAAATATCTCTTCGTGGTGCACCAAAGCAGGACTGAACAGTACAGGCTTCGGGTTTTTATTTTCTTTTTAGGTCAACTCCACTCACAAATGCGCAACAACGTCACGTGTTCAGCGTGTCATCACTACGCAATGGATGGCGACGTGTAAAACATGATGGAGGAAAGGAGTATGTAGAGTAAACTTAGCTGGCTGAATTGAACCCGTTTCATTTATTTGCATCTTTTTGGGGGTTAAAATCGACAAAAACCTAAATAAACGCTACATTTGTGGGGAAATAGTCGCCTGTTGACGGTGCTGTGAACCAACGGAAACTACGAGAAGCTTAAATGACAGGTAAGTCAAATAGTCAGCTGATCGAAAACAAGCTGTGAAGGTGTTAGCATGTGTCTGGGTAAGAAGTAGTTAGCCTCCGGTTAACAGGCATTCCTACTGAATTTGAAATATGCTTTAATAAACGGTACAGCATTCTGGAGACAATCGGCTGACTGCCAAATTTGAATCAGAACGTGGATCACGTCATATTGGCTCAGATGTCATACTACGAGCAAAATAAATAAATAAACACCCTAGATGTTATGTTTCTGCTTGCTCCATCGTTGCGTAAAGGTCCCGTTAGTATGATTAAAGTAAGCTGTTTCCCTAGTTCACATAACGACCCCTGTTTGCAGAAGGTGTGTTATTTAAAGAAGAGGCCTCACATCCTGGTTGATATTAGGCTGTCCTGTTGTGAGCACTGCCATTTTATGAATGAACACCTACATTTCTTTCATAGAGTAAGCTCAAACATGAACACAAAGATAATTCTTAGGTTTCTAAAACCCAGAATGATTACTTTACTTTACTTTTTACACCCTTGAATTTAAGTGAGGAAGAGTAAAACACATTTAAAATCACATTCTGGTTTCAAGGCTCTCATTAAGTCATGCACAAACTCTGAAGTTTGAATCAAGCCAATTCATTTGAAGGTAATTCACAATGTCACTGATTAATGTGTGTTCTCTGTACCAAGATTTGGTATAGGTCCAGTAAATCAGGAATGAGAAGTGGCAGTTCTGGCTGAAACGAGCCAGGAAATATGGGAGCCAACACCAGCCACGCCAGTGATCTGTCTGAGAACACCAGCCTGAAGGCCCTGGTGGGAACAGAGTCTATAACTGAAAACGACCCCTTCTGGAATCAGCTTATTTCCTTCACTTTCATCAGTCCTACTAACAGGTAAACCAACAATAGTAATGGTTATCTCAAATGCATTGCTTAAAAGTTGCAGCTTAAAAGTTTTAACCCTATTATTACATCTTTCACGCTACATTTTTCTGCATTTTTCTCGTAACGTTCAGTTCAACACCTGAACGTGAACGTTAAAGATACCTGATTAGTTCTGCTATTATTTATGTGGCGTTTCACTTCATTAAAATTAAATCAGTCATGTGGAAGTTATCAGTTACCCTTTTCTTTCAATGTAATTTTATGTTTTTCACAGGGATTTTAAAGCACCTGAAGATTTAGTAACTATGCATTTACTCACCCTGCATGTTAATTTGCATACTCAATAACTATTTAAATAGTTTACTCAGCACAGACTACCAGAATCATGAATTAAAGCAACTTAAAAGAAAAACACAAGACCTTCCCCTGGAATTCACTAGATGTCAGTAAAAAATGGTAAATGGTATCTAATTACTTTTAAACAAACTCCTCTGGAGTGTTTTTTTTACCATCAGTCAAAGTGGAGGTGCTATTTTATCCCCAGAAAGAGTAAGAGCATTGTGCAGCAGCTAAGTACCAGGATGTGTTCCTGCACTCTATGTGATGTATTAAAGTACTTATTCCGTCTATTTTTATATGAGCTACACTTTGAGTAAAAATGGCCAGTCTAGCTCCAAAAGGTAAAGGGTTAAGCTAAACGGCTAACAAAGAGAAAAGCTGTCCAAGTGTAAGATTTCTGTTTTAAATGTCAAATGTAAAAATGAAAAGACCCATTGATTAGTGAAGTCTCTGAGTTAGAAACTTGATGTTTTAGAGGACCTTAAATCTCCTGCAAATGCTTTTAGTTGTAGTAAGTGGCTAGTGAGTTCAGAAAGTGTAAGGGACTCCTAATTCACTCTTCTGGTTTACAGCTCATCACGTTTTCAGTCGTGAGTTCAGAACTGGGGTCTTGACTCTTGAGTGAAAAGTGAGAACAGCCTTTAAGTCTTCTGACTAGACTAGAGCTTTGCTGAGTACTGATTTAACAGGGTTATTGTCCTGGTTGTATGAGGACTGTTAACGTGTAGATATTTCGTATATAAAAATGAGAAACCACTACATTGCATATTTCATTATATACTACATTATATGCACAAGAGATGGTTCTTTGTTAGGGGTGCTGTTAAGCATGCAATGCTGGGCACCCATTTATTATCAAACGTTCTTAGAAACTGGTCTATGTTCCATCATATGAATAAAATTATACATACGGCCAAAGTCCTTTTTTATGAACCAAGTAGTGTCGTACGCGCGTTCCTCTGAAATCGACCGTTGATAAATCCCACACGGGCATACCCAGGTCCTCGTGGCTGTTCAGTCATTTGCATACAGAAATTACTCCAATGAACCATATTTGGTCACACCACGTCCCCTAAATTTCATGTGGGAAAATGTGTGCCGAAGCTGAGGAGAACCAAAAATTGTTGTTCTGTCCTCTCAGCTCAACGGTAACCAGTAAAAGAAAGAATGTTGCCGGAGAGAAAGTGTCAGAGGTCCATGTTAGAAATTACGAAAAATTGGTTCTACGTCAAACTGAATACGAAAAAATATTAAAGTTGTCAATAAATTAAAATGGACTGGAATCAGATTCACATGGTTTGCCTGTTTCAAGGGGGGCCTAAATCATGGCATAGCTCCTCAGGAAGTGGTATCTGCTCAGGAGCTCTGTTTTCCCACCAAGCAGATCAGTGCACTCGCGAAAGACGCGTTCCCTCCAGGGTGCATTCTCCACCAAATCCTCCAATAACACAAGTTCGGCCATGCTACAATTTAAAATTCCTGTATATTACAGGTGATTTTATGTAACAAATCAGTTTATCCACAGACATAATTACTCATTGGTTAAAAATTATTTGTGGATAAGCAACACTCTGGAATACTGCACCCTTCAGTATGGTGGTTCCATCGTTTTACCACTAGATTTATTTATTTCCCTTTATTTAACCAGACAAGTCGAGAACTCATTCTCATTTACGACGGCGGTCTGGCCAAGAGGCAGCAGCAACAGACAAAGAATTAGCTTTTCACCAAGAACAACAGATAGACAAGATAAAAATAAACAAGATAAAAATCAGACATTTAGACAAATGACTGTTCTCATATAAAATATGTACAAGCAACCAAAACAGACTTAAAACAATCTAAGACCTCAGAAGCAGGTGCAGTGATCAGAAACTATTGATTGCAATGAATTAGTGAAGGTAGATAATGGAATGTATGTAGTGAGCTTCAATTATTTTTGCAGCTCATTCCAGTCGATGGAAGCAGCAAACTGGAATGAGGAGCGGCCAAAGGAGGTGCAAGCTTTAGGAATAACCATAGAGATTAACACATGAAATACACACAGATCTGTGCATTATGGGCCGTCAAGATTCTTTGCACAAACTAGCTCATTCCAGAAGTGAGATGGACACCATGAGGACTGCCTCTTGTCTTGCATCCTGTTTGTGCTGCACATGGACAGAATCTTAGGGCAAAGTCTTGACCAAGAAGCTGTCTGGTTTAGAAAACCCTCTTTTGGACCTCCTCGGACCATGACCTTCAGTGTTTAGTTTGTGGTAGCTTGGATTAAAAGGAGGAAGGTGGCATCCCCCCCCCCCCCCCCCCCCCAGCTGTGAGCGAGTCTTTGCCAAACTGTGAGGAGTTGAAATATTTTGGTATCTTGGTCACCACTGGGACAGAGCGAGGAATGGACCAAGGAATTTGGGCTTCTTCCATCATGTTGATGTCATCGAGCTGTAGATGAAGCAGCTGAAATGGGGATCTTCTGAGGGATACCCATCTGGCTTTTATTCCTTTCTGTGGTTCTTTTGCACATCAGTGATTAAAATAATAATAATTTATTTTTGTCTGTTTCACAGTGCTGACTCCAAGTTACTAGAAGAGGCTGTCATTCCCCTGGCCAAGGCTTTCAGTATGTTGGTTATTTCCTTCAAAATTTGTCTCTTAGTTATTGTATAATCATGATTACAATTATTTGCTGCTAAAAATACCCCTTTGAGAATTCTGTTTTTTTTATTATCTTGATTACAATTTAATCTTTCAATTTTTTATTTGTTTCTCAAGTTGAAAACAATCCTAGAACGGGGAACTTTGGTGCTCTTGTGAGGATTTTTCTGGGAAGAACCAAAGAACTGAAAATTTCTACAGAATGTAAAGAGTGAGTATATTGCATAGTACAAAGAAATCGCTAAATTTAAATGTAAATATCTAGTTTTCTTTCGATCAGTTTCATGTGAGCACAAAATCACTTTTCGTATCTTAGAGACAGTATGTAGTTTTTACTATTAATCTCTGGAAATATCCATCAAAATGTTGAAAATGCAATGATGACCAGATGTGGAGAAATATTGGCCGCTTCGTAACATAACTATAAAAATTGGGTCTAAAATACATAAGTCTTGTTGCCAGGACACAACAGTTCTGTTGCAAATGCCATCCTCATCCTCCCTTACTCGGTAGAACGGGCTTTCTGCTGTACTTGCCTAGAGCGTACTTGTCAAGTACACAAAAACATACTAGTGTCCTTGTGTATTCAGAAACGACCTACATTTTTCCTTCATCAAAAAAATAAATCTTGATTACTTTTTATCCATCTTGTTGGCTAACAAAGACAACCAACATGGCAGCTGACTACCATCCCTTAGAATGGGAACTTGCGTCACTTGTGTTGTGTAAAGATTTTATCTGGATCATCAGGGATAGGGACTGTGGTGTTCATGGCTTTCTGTTGAGAGCGATTTACGCATGCGCACTTTTATTTAGGTGATCATTATAAAACAAACACTGCTGGGCCGACCCCATATCCAGATCTTCATGAGAATTTAACCTACTGAGCTTGACAGTTATCTTTTTAACAAAAACATTGTTTTAATTTAGTTTCACATATAACCACAAAATGTTTACATGACTTGATTATTCAATTATTCTTATTTATTTATTTAGTTATGGCCATCCATGACTATGCTTGACTTGTATTCGGACATAAACCTAGATATACTTACACCAATGCTTGGTGACGGAATAGATTTTTCTGTAATTTTACTCTAAAACAACAGATTCTGTTTCATGGATTATTTTAAGTGCTCGTAGAGCTCCACAGCATCATCTGGTGGGGCCTGGCTCCAAATGCAGACACGTCTCATGTACATAGTTTGAAAACTTCTTATACCGAAGAAGCACAAACGAGGTAGGACTTTAGTTGTAAATCTTAGTAAAAGCTGCTTCTTTATGTTCTTTTCAGTCACCTAGCATCTCCAATTTCTTAGCTTATTGACCTAATTGGTTCCGAACAACCACTTCATCATTAGCTGAGCTTGTTTGCAAACATTCCACATTTCAGGTCAAAGAATAGAAATGATCACTGGAAACCTGTTTTTTTAAATACTATTTCAGGTTAAATAAGATATAATAGTACTTTTACAGTGTTTTAGTGCAAACACAAACATCACACACACTCAAGGCCAGTTTTTAGCAGCAGAGTGTTTTTGATTTTTCTGCTTTTGTTTCTTTTCCTCCAGTCAGTTATTCATCTGGCAGGCCCACAACGCTCTGTTCATGATTCGCTGTTTGCTCAAGGTGTTCATCAGAGAGCTGAGTGAGGAGGAGCTGCACCAACAGTTCTGCTACCAGGAGAGGGCGCCAGGCTGCTGTGAAGGTGAGCTGGTGTGTGTCTGTCAGGCTCAGCCTGGCCTCAGTTAGAAATTTCTGACTGAAGATTTCAAACATCTGAGGGTCTTTGTTTTATTGAGGTAATTCAGAACATTTTTGTATACTGCTGGACTAAATCTTTTTCTTACCACAATGAATAACATTTAAAAGCATTGTTTTACCTGCTTAAAAATGTTCTGATAAAAATTTCAGTTCACTCTCGTTTCTCTGCCAATGGGAATGTTAATCAGCTAATGAGGACATTATGTAATTATTAGATAGCGCATAGCTTCTTAACTAAGGTCATTTACTATTGCTCTTGTGAAGAGTTACCATGAAAAATGTGTCTGGTATAAAAGCTGCCCCTTTCACACCTGTAGAAACTGGGAGCGAGGACCTCCTAGAAGAGCTGTTGTTGAACCTTGTTCACCTGATTGTTGAAGTGCCCCTGCTGTAAGTACCTGCAGTGTCTGTGTTTGTGCTGAGGTGAATGTGACTGAATTTTAAACACCCCTCGCTCTCTTTTACTGAAATCACACTTGCTTGTTTTGTTGCTTTTTTAGTGGGTTTAAGCCATACTGTTGTCAAAGGTTACCAATAAAGTAAATTGAAGTTTTTCACCCAACACCCCCATTTTGTTGTGTTTGAATTCTAGCAGTTGAATCAACAGGATTTCCTGTTTGATTCTCTCATCTGAGGAGCTTTATATAATAAAGCTTCTATAGCAAATCTGGAAAACCAAATTGGCTTCAAACATTTTCATGCCTCTTAACCTTCAGAGTATAGTAATAAATATATTGTGGGTGTAAAATAAATAAAATAAAGTGGTTATCTCGCATTTGTCTAAAAACCTCCACCAATAACATGGTGCAGCCCTTGGGCCATCCGGTTGTCTGTCTCGCTGAACCGCCACACTTCCCTGGGTCCTCCATTTTTACACACTTGCGTATTTAGCAACAGACCACTGGTGTCAGAGGTTAACCGCTCAATAACATCATAGAAGAAGAAACAGCTGGCTGCTATAGGACAAACTACCAGAGCCGCCCCCCCCCCCCCCCCAAAAAAAGAAAAAAAAAAACACGAGGGGCGACGGTGGCACAGGAGTTAAGTGCTCACCCCGTAATCGGATGGTTGCAGGTTCAAGCCCTGCTCAGTTTGTCGCTGTCTGCTTAACCCACCTTGCCTGCTGGTGGTGGTAGGAGGGACCGGTGGCGCCTGCGTACGTCAGCCTCGTCTCCGTCAGTGCGCTCCAGGGCAGTTAATGTAGCTAGTCTCCACCAGGGTGTGAATGTGTGTGTGAATGACTGATTGTGTTGTAAAGTACTTTGGGGGGTTATATCAAATACGGGCCGTTTACCATTTGAAGTAGCAGAAAGCAAAAGATGTTAGAACATAAAAAGTGGCGACTGATGTTTAGCACTATCTCGTTTCCTCTGGCAATGTGGGTCTCCAGTTCCTGCAGCAGCGTTTCAGGGAAGATGCCTTGGGGAGGGGTGAGTTTTCCGTGACCGTGTTTGCATTCAAAACCTAGCTTGTTCTGTAAATTCTCTATAGCGGCTTTAAGAATCAACCAAAAGGTCTTCAAGAGTCACCGACCTCTAGTTTAAATTCCTTGTCTTTACGTTGTCTGTACCTTGGATGCCAGTGGTCAGCTAACAAAAAGCAGTCTCCAAAGTCAGAATTCTCACAAGCTTTGATCTCAGAATTTAAAACTGCTGCTTTGAGCATGACTAGTCTTAATGGTTGCATTAATAAAGTTTTTATTTATATTTTTTTAAGTATTCATGTCAGTTTGTATTTCATACAATCGGTCGCAAGCATAGTCTGTAAAACCTTCATTTGTTACAGGGTTTGAATGTATAAAGAGCAAATAAAAAATCCTGTTGATCTGCTGGTGTTGCTAGCTGCAATTTGTCTGATCACTGAGCACAACATGGAGCAGGTCCCACTGGATTCCCAGCCTTTGACTAGAGAACTGTTAAGCCAGGAGTGGCATCATTCCCAGTTTCTGGTTCAGAGTTGTGGGTTAAAGGAAATGGATCATTCCACATTTGCTTCTTAATTTACTACTCAAGAAAGATGGAAAAGATGCCAATGGGTTAAACATACAGAGAAGTTAAAGTGTACTAGGTCTTTATGTGTAGGAAATAAGAAATTATAACACTGAGTGGTACACACCCTAACACTGAATTAATGAGGAAAATGTGGGTGTGGGCTGATCAGCTGAGGAATTATCTGACTGACCGCCTGTTAGCATGAAAAATCCTTTGGATTCTACTCAGGCTTGCAGTGTGGAACGGTGTCAGACAAGTTCATGTAAACTAACTGACATTTGCTGCTTTGTCCCCCTTTTCCTGTCTGTTTCATATGTCTGGACGGTGTCATTTTTGACATTCTCTTCTGTCTACTAAAGTCTACACTATTTTTCTTCCATCTTCTTCATGTTTTTCTCTTTCCTGCGGACATCAAAACCTGGCTATTGTCTAAATGCATTCGCATTCCAACATTATTCATTGTTTCAAGCTTGAAGCCTCCCTGTTTTTTTTCCTTAACCTCTTTGTAGCTGGAAGCCCATTTCCTCTGTACGTGCTCCTGCTTTGGGAATCTGGCCACTCTTGGCGTAGCTTCCACAAACCTCAAGCAGACATTTGCACCTTTTGTGTCTTTGTTTCACATGAAAGATCAGTGCTTATTTTTTCAGTCACAGGTGTAGGTCTGCAAAAACCTATCTAGTGGGCGTCTGGTTGACAGAAAAATGTTCTGCCAGTTTATTTATTTTTAAACGTTTTTAACTGGATTGTTGGGAAGTTTGCATTTCAAGGGCAAAGAAATGTTTATATATTTTTTAAAATTTTTCCAAATTTATTTGGTTCTATTAGGAGGGATATATCTCTGAGATGAGCAAAAAAGAAAATGCTAATTTAATACCAGAAATGGAGACTGGTGTTTAGTACTTAAAAAACTAGAAACAATTATTTGTAGTCAATTTTATTTTTATTTTTATTTTGTTAAAGGACAAGTGTTTTTATCTTTGTGTTAGACATTAGGTAGACATTTTAGTATAAAATATTGAATACTTAAAGTAAAAAAATAATACATTTTCTATTAGTGATGCACCGATATGAAATTTTCTTGGCCGATACCGATATCCGATATCAAGATCACTGTTATGGCCGATAACCGATATTTGCCGATACCGATATACTGACATTAATGCTTCTAAAATCAGCAGATTTTGTATAGAATGAAAATTATTAAAGCTGAATTTGTTATTATGTACACACAACACACACATTTACTGAAACAGGCAAACAAAGGGAGATGAAATGGAAAAAATATTGGTTGTTAATATCTGCCTGGTTTTATTTGTCGAACCGATACCGATATGTTGAAAAATGACTAACATCGGCCGATACCGATATTGATGCCGATATATTGTCCATCCCTGTTTTCTATTCTAAGCTAAGTGTTTGTATGTAGGTTTGAAAGTCACATCGTGGTGTCACTGTCCACGTTGCAGTTCATTTGTTTCCAGGAATAAAGTCATTTATACACCAGTACAGATGAGACATGGCAGAATAAATTCTCTTTAAAAAACTAATGATTAATGATAATTGATCTAATGGAAATATTGACTCAACTTTTCCTGCAGAGATATCACCTACAGCATCCTGTTCGAAGCAGTGACCACGTTGCTGGTCTTCTTCTCCAATCAGCTCCTCCACAAAGACATCCTCAGGGATGGATTAATCTGCCAGCACATCATGAAGGGACGATGGTGAGAAAACACACTCGGTCATTGTCATTTAACCTGAAGGGGGTCCTAAGATTTAAAAACCACATTCATGTTAATTTAGCGCACTAAAAGCCTGCACCGTCTTCGACTTGCTTTCCTGTATAAATGAATAATGTTGTTATGGCTACGGAGACACGATTCATTCACAGAAAAGCTCGTTTAACACATCACAAGCTTCGACACGCCACCTTGCATTGCATGTGCCAACCCACCTCTGTGTCAGAGTACATAAAGGTTGGTGGCAGTTATGCTAACTTTGCTCCTGCTAACACTAGCCTGAGCTACTGCCAGCGCTAGCTTCAGCTACTGCTAACTGCTAAGAACGTTGGAGTACCGCCCATGTCCCAGGATGTACTGGGAACATCCAGATTTTGAATGACTGCCAGATAGATCCACATCTTGCGGTTATTGTATTCCTGTTCAATATATCGTCTAGCCCGACACTCACTTCAGCCCCCTTCCACGGAAGCACCCAGAACACAGAGTTACTACCTGACATAGAGCCCTCTGGGGAAAATTGGCCAATATGCATGCAGCTCATTTAATATTCCTTTTCTGGCTGAGTGGGCGGGGAAAGTCTGCTTTTTCATGGAAGGGCTTTATTATGCACCGTTAATCAGGGCCCCTGGGACGTTGTGAGCCAACAAATTTAAAATGCTATATAGGAGCTCAAAGAACAGTTTCCAACTGTATAAAATCCTTTTTGTTGGACATATTTTATTCTAAATACAACGGAGAGCCCCAATTAAACACTGGAAGAATTGCTTACAATCAGAAAACCCCAGCGCTTGTGTTTTAAAAATGATGTTCCACTTTCCGATTGTGCTGATGGGTTTTATTTTGAGAGGGTGCTCGCTGCAGAACTACAAAGGCAGAGCTGCACCATAAGGTGGAGCTGCACCAGAGTCAGCCCCGCCCATTCACGCAAACTCAGCCTAGCCCACTGACTTCCGTTTTTGTTTTCAACTTTATCGCAAACTGACCTGACCCACATGAATTACGGCTGTTACTAGTTTACAGTCGTTAATGCTATGTTCTATGCTTCAATTAAACAAGATAAATATAACTTGCTACATGACAAAGTCTGAATATATCCCGAAATAAAAAGGTTTCTCTTAGCGAATATCTGCCCACAGCCGCTCTAACAAAACTTCTGTACAACAGCATGTACCACCACCATGTGGTTTCTGGTAGTCCAGTGGCAAGATTGTCTAACCTAAGTTTTGCTTTCTCCTCAGCTGATGCTGGTTCGATTCTCGGTGGGGTCGGCAACAATCTATTTAGCCAGCTGAAACATTTAATGTGTTCATATTTTAGTTGTAATGTTCATTTTCAGAAAAATATTTATGTCTCTACAAGTTCTTTGAATTTGGTCGTTCCTAAACAGCATTTTAGTTGAAACTCTGCTCACAGATGGACTCACACTGGCTAAATAAACGAATGAATAAATAAAAAAACACATTAGTCATTATATGTTAAACGGCATACCAATAAATTGTTGTAAACATAGTACTGGCAAGTGTAGCTAGAAATGAGGAAAAGAGATTATAGAATATTTCCACTGCTGGGATGCAAACCTGCACAAAACTGCATGTCAACCTGACACCATCACCACTACACCACCACATTTGATAAAAACTTAGGTGGCGTTACATTTGATTATGCTATTCGGTGTGTCTTTGTAGATGGGATGTACGATTTTTCTGGCGGTGTCTCAGTAGAAGTCATTTCAGAAATATTTTGTCAGAAAATTCACAGAATATCCAGATTTGAGAACCAAGACCAGACCCGCTTCGGGGGAGGAGACCAAATTGAAGCTGAGATGGGAAGAAAATGCATGAATGAGGCCAAAAATGGCTTTGGCGTGTTTCTTATGAGGAAATGACAATATAACATGATTAAAAGTTCAAAAAGTTAGATTTTTAAATATATGGAACCTTTACAAAAACTGTTCAATTCACTTCTCAACTCCATCCTCAATCTTGCATTTTTTAGCTATAACACCCTCTTTGGTTCCAGAATGCTATAAAGTCTGACAACTGGAAGGAATTGAACTGACTCTGATAGAATGGGCGGGGCTGACTCTGGTGCAGCTCCACCTTCTGGTGCAGCTCCGCCTTTGTGGTTCTGCAGCGAGCACCACTTGTTTATTTTGGTATTCTACTGACAAAAATATTTACCCATTTTAATTTGGCTCTTGGTCCACAGTTTATGCTTGACAAGTCGACTGGTGAAGACCCTGCTCTACAATTTCATCAGACAGGAGAAGTGTCCTCCAGCAACCCACATTTTTGAGCCCAAAGCTGAGGGGGGTCTGCTTTACGGCCTTGCATCTGGGGTGGCAAGTAAGAGAACTCACCTGAACACATATAAACCAGAGAAAAGAATAAAGAGCTTTTTGTCAAATTTGCAAACTTCCATCTTAATGTGGTATTTGAATTACAACTCAATTCAATTCAAAAATACTTTATTAATCCCAGAGGGAAATTGATTGCTGTAGTAGCTCAGATCAATCGTATTAAATTGAAAAATTAAAAGGGAAACATTTTTCTCTCCTTCCTTTACTTTATTTAAAAACAGAAAATTATTAGAAAACAGTTCAATAGTGTGCAAAACAACATGCTATCTCCTCAACTGGATTTTCCTACGCGTAACTGGACGCCTTTTCAGCCCCCTTCCCGAGGCGAACAGGGCCGACACACCCACTGCCAGCACACGAGAGCAAACTGCTGAGCAAACGGCCTCGAATGACCGTTTGCTCAGCAGATACCTCGCTGTGCGCGCCTGATTTTCACTGAGTTTTCTGCCTCACGAGACGCTGAGGTGAATATCTCACCAGTTAGATATTTTCCGCCTCACGGGGGGGTAAAAACTCGCCGTGTGCGCACTACTGAGCTGCTGGCTGAGCTGAAATATTGTATTAGCCAATCAAAGCGCGTTCTCCGCTCACATGACCCCAAGATGGCAGCCCCCTGTCTGCATGTCAGAAAATAAACAAAATGGAGACAGAGCTGGAAACGGAAGAAATGCCTCTACTTTTTTTGTTGATGAAGCGTCGCCCTCACCGGCGTTAGGAAAGTTTGTGTACGGTGGCTGGAAAGAAGGGCCAGGCAAGGAGTTTAGGCCAATCTACTCCAAGAGATGCGCCTGGAAGACCCAGAATCCTTCCGACAGTACCGCCACCTGGATCCTTCGAGAGGTTAGTGGAAACAGTGGGCCCATCGATCCGCAAGGTACTATTTTGTTTATTTTTCCTGACAAGCACACAGGGTATCTGAATACATCTTGGGGTCATGTGAGCAGTTATGTTGTTGTTGCAGATGCTAAGTCAACACTGTTCTTGTGCTGTTTGTGGGCTTCTGTCCTCATGATTATATTTTTGGTATTAGAGTTGGAATAGACTTTATTGAACCCACAGTAGGGAAATGCACTTGCTATAGCAGCACATACACTTAGAGATAAGAAAGAAGAAAAACAATAAGATTACAGGCAAACGCATAAAGGCAATAGTCCATTGAAATGTGTTACTAGCAGAGGTTTTTAGACAAATGTGAGAGAACCACTTTATTAATGTTTTATTTTTGTCTCCACAATATATTTATATCTATATTACAATGTTGTTAAAGTGACAGTGTGTAGTTTCCCTGGCGATAGGGGGCAGTATATACCTAAATGATTGCAAGCAAGCATTACTTTTGTGTTCAAGTAAGACCTTACCAACTGATGGCCATTAGGGTAAAAAATGCCTGGGAGTGCAACCTCCAGCAAAGTAACAAGAACATCAGATTCCCTTTCATCACTGGCAATAAGTGAAGAGGTAAATGTGTAAAACAACAATGTTTATTAATGCTGAAAGAGGCATGAAATAATGTTTTAAGCAAATTTTTTTCCAAATTTGACATTGCAGCTTTAATGCTTCTCTAAAAATCTGTGTTTATTTTATATTGTTTTTGTACAATGCACTACTTCATTCAGAAGCTAACTCGCAAACAAAAATCTGATCTCTTTAGATCTAAATTGTGATAAATTAAATTAGGCTGATGAAGTGGACAGAAAAGTGAAGAGGAATGATGATGAGTCACAAATAAACTGAGCTGTTTGTGTTGGAGGCTGGTGAAGCTTTTGTGTGTTTGTTTGAGTGTGAGAATAGGGCTGGGTTTCCCCTGTGGATAAATGCTTTTTGTTGGTTGTTGGTGGCAGATTTCTATCAGTGAGCAATCACCATTCAGCCCAGTCAGTCTGTCTGTGGCCACTGATCGGCTTGATGAGTTATGGTCTCCCGTCCTGTTCTGTAATCCCCTAGAGCCTGTTTGTCTGCAGCCGCCTCCCTTACACACACACACACACACACACACACACACACACACACACACACACACACACACACACACACACACACACACACACACACACACACACACACACACACACACACACACGCACTGTTGAACAACGACCTCAACAGCAACTCTTGATTTCTTTCTTTGTCCCAAAGCTGTATAAATGACATAATCCACAACAAATTAATGCAAACATTGGATCTGTTTATGCAAAGGTCTGGATCACTGAGAAACTGTAATTTTTGTTCTGTTTGAAATACGATCGGTCACTCTGAGTTGCACATGCATGCTGCACAAATAAAATAGTTTTTTACCCCATCACCTACATTAGCTGCAGAAAGGGAATAGACGGGAAATTGATTGTGTCAGAAAAAGCCGGTCTCTTGCACGGCACAACTTTGCTTGCAACCCTCAACTGGAAGGCTGTGTTGATTCTGTGGCCAGGAGAGCGCAGAGTGCATGAATGCTAGCAGAAGCTCACCTTTAGCATTAGCAACTCCACAACATGGTGGAACACGTTCAGACTTGTGTTATTTTTGGCGATAACACATCAACGAACAAAGGCAGTGGAAGAGTCACATTTCTGTTGGCCAATCAAAGCTGATATGTCATGAATATTGAGTAAGACTTGTAGTCTTGTTGTTTTCTGCCCTTGCTTCTCTGACTCACTTCTGCCTACTCAAACAGGAGCGCTGGAGCTCATTCATACCAGAGACCACAGCAAATTTATTGAATTAAAAAAAGTGAGTGGGACCTTTAAAGTTTTGATATTAGTTTATGTTCAGTTAATAACAAATGTTTCTTTAAGCATATTCTAGTGGAGGACTGAGGAGACTAGATCAGTGGTGTCCAATCATAGCCCTGCAGGATGCAGGTTTCGTGGCCCTCAAGGACCAGGATTGGACACCACTGGATGATAAGTAGATCAGTTAATTAGTCGACCGATTTAATCATCAGATATTTGCCACATTTTATGATAGTCTACAATAAACTAATGACTGAGCATTAAAAAAAAGATAAAACAGCAGCTGCTCCAACCACAATTTTGTTTTGTTAAAAAGAAAAAACTAATCTTGTATTAAGTTTGTGTCCAAATTGGTGCATGCAGAAAACCGTACTCGACCTGTTAACCTCTTTCAAGTGTAATGGAGAGCTCGTAGTTTGTTTAAAGCCCAGTTTATACTTCTCCATCTGCGTCGGTGTGGACCCACGCAACGCTATAGGGCTTTCCGTCAGGATTGGAGAGGGTGACAGAGACATGCCCAGAATGACAGAGGCCGCATGCTTGTGATTGGTCAGGACGCCGCTTCCTATAAATTGATCAACAGCATCGCCTTTTCCCCGTCGAAAAGTAAAAAGGTGTTTAGCGACAGACACGAAACAGATTGAAGAATGCCTCGTGGAAAAAGTCCGAAAATATGACTGTTTATTCACCTGTGACTGAAGGAGTACAAAAATACGAAGCAAACGTTTCATTCATGGACGGAAATGACGGGAAACGTGAGTTTAGGGGTGGCGACCGCATGGAAACATAGAGGAGAATGAAGGATGCTGAAAACCATTGTCCGTGTTATAAAGTCTCTGAAATATATAAACACATCAGTAAATATACTATCGCTACGCCCTCTGATGTCCTGGTGGGGAATAGCTTTGCAACACTCCCCAGACTGATACGGGCTGTTAGCTTCCTATATGACCAGTGCCAGAGTTTGTTCCGCATTGCCAGCAGTAAGTCGGGCTTGTTTCTGGTGAGAGTTTGACAAGACTGCCCTTTTGTCGCCAATTCTCTTCATAACTTTTATGGACCAGATTTCTAGGCGCAGCCAAGGTATTGAGGGGATTCGCTTTGGTGGCCTGAGGATCAAGTCTCTGCTTTTTGCAGATAATGTGGTCCTGTTGGCTTCATCAGACCGTGATCTCCGGCTCTCACTGGAGCAGTTCGCAAAAGTGTGAAGCAGCTGGGACGAGAATCAGCCCCACTAAATCTGAGACCATGGTCTTGATTTGGAAAAGGGTAGAATGCCTTCTCCAGGTCAGGGCTGAGGTCCTGCCACAAGTGGAGGAGTATAAGTATCTTGGGGTCTTGTTCATGAGTGAGGGAAAGATGGAGCACGAAATCGACAAGTGGATTAGTGCTGCGTCTGCATTGATGCGGGTGTTGTACCAGTCTGTTTGTTGAAGAGAGAGCTGAGCCAGAAGGCAAAGCTTACCGGTCGATCTACGTTCCTACCCTCACCTATGGTCACAAGCTTTGGGTAGTGACCAAAAGAATGAGATAATTGATGCAAGCGGCCAAAATAAATTTCCGCACAGGGTGGCTGGGCTCTCCCTTAGAGATGAGGTGAGAAGCTCGGTCATCTGGGAGGGGCTCGAAGTAGAACCAGTTGAAGTGGCTCAAGCATCTTGTTAGAATACCTACTGGACGCCTCCCTGGTAAGTTTTTATGGGTACATTAAACCAGGACAAAACCTAAAAGAACACCTAGGACACGCTGGAGGGACTATGTCTCTTGGCTGGTCAGGGAATGCCTTGAGATTCCCCTAGAGGAGCTGGCCCAAGTGGCTGGTGGGAGGGAAGTCTGGGCCTCTCTGCTTAAGCTTGGTTTATGCTTGACGCAGTTACTTTCCGCTTGGTGATGCGGCTCGCGGATGGAACGCGCTTTACAACTTGCAGCGTTTATGGTTCGTGCGGCTCGTCTCTGCGGTGAGCCAATATTTTCCCAAACTGAACGGGGCAACATGGAGCTCTACGGCATGCATCCAACACTACACCACAGTAGAAGTAAAAATTACTGTTGTTTACAACATGGCATTCCAGCAATTTTTAACAGCGTCCTCGTCTTTTCCGACAGTGCAAGCTATTTCTCTCCAAGAATTATTAACAACATGTTGATCACGGTGATCTCTGAGAGCTGAATCATACAAATGTCTGTATTTACGAACCTCTGCCATACTAGTTCTTGCCGGTCCGCCATGTTTTTCTGCATCCGACCGTCCGCGTGGTTA